GATTCATTATAAACATACATTTAGTTGGAATATAAAGAGTATACTTATTAAATTTCTTCTTTTATTTCATAAATACTTAAGGTAATTTTTCCTGTTAGGATTTTTTTTCTTCCTTATTTTTCAAATTATACATTTCAGATTGTTAAGAGTGCCAAATTGTGAAACTTATATTTCTAACCTAAATATTGTATGCATTTTAAATGCCGAGAATAATTTAGGAAAAATTTAGGAAAAACGGCATTTTAAAAAAGGACTCATAAACTCTTTTTAGGACCAACCTAGATATCTAGAAAATTTCTAACTTAAAATCCTATATCTTTGAAGTTTAAAGTAGTTTTATTTTTCAAAAAATTTTAATGAAAAATATTTTTACATTAAGATATCCTTTAAAATCTCATGTGTTCAGAGGTAGGGTTTTTTAAAAGGTGTCAGATATTTTGTCCTTGTGATGAGAAAATGCCTAATATCAATATGCAATTTCATATCTATTTTTACATCAAAGATGCTGTATATGAATAGAATTTGCTCGCAGACTTACAATATTTTCCAAAGTTAGAAACTGAGTAAGAGAAAAGAGGTAAAAATCTTGAACACATAGTTGTAAGCAGGAGACTTAATAAACAAAACGGAATCTTATCTTATTATAAAGCTTTTCCACATCAAAAGAAATCACCAACAGAGTGAAAAGACAACCCATAGAGTGGGAAAAAATTATAGCCAGCTGTCTCTCAAACAAAGGACTTCTATTTAGAACACAGAAAAAATTGAAAAAAAATCAGACTCCCAAATTCAAAAACTCAATCCAAAAATGAGCATTTGAGATGAATATGTACTTCCCAGCTAAAGAAATACAAATAGCAAATAAATATATGAAAAAATGTTCAACATCATTGATCACTCAAGAGATGCAAATTAAAACACTGAGATTGTATCTCACTCCAGGAAGAATGTCTATCATCAAGAAATCAACCAATAACAAATGCTGCAGATGATTTAGTTTCTTCCCCACTAATAGTGGGAGTGTATCTTAGTACAATCACTCTGGAAATCAGTGTGGAGATTCCTCAGAAAAATTAGGATTAGAGTTCCCATTATACACAACTATTCCTTTTCTAGGTATTTTCCCAGAAGAATTAAAAACATTATACCACAGAGACTTATGTGCACCCATGTTTATAGCAGCACAATTTGTAATAACTAAATCTAGGAAACAACTCTAAGGCCCATCAACCAAGGAATCGATAAAAATGATGTAGTATTTTTACACGATGGAGTGCTACTCAGCTATCAAGGTGAATAAATTTGAGTCTTTTATAGTTAAATGGATGCAACTTGAGACCATACTCATAAGTGAAATATATCAGACTCGCATGCATAAACATTGTGTTGTCTGCCTAGTGTATGAAGCTGAAAGAATAAATAAGATCCAAAATGTGCAATAGATATTGGGAAAAAGAAATAAACTGTTCAGAAGGAAAGAGACACTGGGAAATGGGAAAGGAGAAAAAAGGATGGGAGAAGGAAAAAAGATGTTATATGTGACTTGTGTGTCTAATCTATAAAGAAACAAGTATTTCTATGATAGCTCACTGGTGTTTAGTAAGTGAAATATACCTTATGTTCTCTGTTTTCATTTAATTCCTCACAATGTACTTATGCAGTGCATCTAAGAATGTCTTTAAATTCATATTTCTCCAAGAAATACACTGAAATATATTTTTAAAATTAAGGAGGGTTAAAAGGTATAGAAGAAATCGTCACCATAAATAATATCAAGTACACCTATAATAATTTTGAGAGTTACTGTTATACAGATTCAATGCAATCCCAATAGAAATTCCATCAACATACCTTATAGATCTAGAGAAATCACTCCTAAATTTCATCTGGAACCAGAAGAGACCTAGAATCGCAAAGGCAATTCTAAGCAGCAAAGACAAAGCAGGAGGCATCACAATCCCTGACTTGAAGTTATACTACAAAGCAACAGTAGTAAAATCAACATGGTATTGGAATCAAAACAGAGCCGAAGATCAGTGGAATAGATTAGAAGATACAACCACAACTACGAACACACTCAACCACCTTATCTTTGATAAAGGAGCCAAGCAGGTTCACTGGAAGAACGACAGTCTCTTTAATAAATGGTGCTGGAAAAACTGGCTCTCCATTTGCCGAAAACTAAAGCTAGACCCATGTCTATCACCATGTACTAAATTAAAATCTAAATGGGTCAAAGATCTGAATATTAAAACAGAAACACTAAATCTATTGGAAGACAAATTAGGTAGAAACCTTGGAGACATAGGAGTAGGTAAAGAATTCATGAACAGGACTCAAACCGCACGGGAAATACTGCCCAGAATCAATAACTGGGACCACTTCTTATTAAAAAGTTTCTGCATGTCAAAAGAAATCTCCAGCATAGTGAAAAGAAAACCCACAAACTGGGAAAAGATTTTAGTGAACTCTCTCTCAGACAAGGGACTCTTGTCTAAAACATATAAAGAATTAAAGAAACTCAGACCTCCAAAATTCAAAGATCCAATCCAAAAATGGGCATCTGAGATGAATACGCAATTCTCAGATGAAGAAATGCAAATGGCAAATAAATACATGAAAAAATGCTCATCATCATTGATCATTAGAGAAATGCAAATTAAAACCACACTGAGATACCATCTCACTCCTGAAAGAATGGCCAGGATCAAGAAAACCGACAACAAATGCTGGAGAGGCTGTGGGGAAAAAGGAACTCTCCTGCACTGCTGGTGGGAGTGTAGACTGGTACAGCCTTTGTGGAGATCTGTCTGGAGATTTCTCAAAAAGTTGGGACTGGAAATCCCATTTATTCCAGCTATTCCACTTCTAGGCATATTCCCAGAAGAACTGAAAGCATCATACCACAGTGATATATGTGCACCTATGTTTATAGCAGCACAATTTGTAATCGCCAGATCTTGGAAACAACCCAAGTGTCCATCAACTGAGGAATGGATAAAAAAGTTGTGGTATTTCTACACAATGGAGTATTATTCAGCTATAAAGAAGGATCACATTGAGATATTTATCAATAAATGGGCGCAGCTTGAGACCATACTCATAAGTGAAATAAATCAATCTCGCATGTGTGAATACCGAATAGTTTCCCTAATTTCTGTATTACGTGTACCCTTACACCGCTTTGGTTTGTTTTGTGTTTTTCTCTTTTTCCTCTTAAATAAAAAAAAAAAAATAATAATAATAATTTTGAGAGTCTTAGAAAAATGTTCTTTAAATGAATTAAAACATCATTTATACATGTTACTTAGATGAAGCATTTTTAGGTTTATAGGAATTCCAGAATAGGTAATTTCATTTGGGCTAAGTTTTCTCAAATTAGGGTAGTTGTATCATTATTATAATATTAATTTTACTTTTATGTTGAAAAGTTGTATAAATTATAAAGACTGATAATATTGATTTATGTTGGTAATTCATTGTATATAGTTTAAGCAGTAAAATATGAAAATTAAGTCAGCTAAAATATTTGAAATGCAACTGAATTTGCTTTTTATTATGATAAATATCAGGTCTAGATTCATCAGAAAATGAATTTCTGGAAGTTATATATTGAGTATATTCATTGTAATGTATTTCTATAAAGAGAAGAGATATACACAAATAAAGTTGTTATCAACCCCCACAAATATATGTAGCAGTCTGTGCAATGTAGGATGAAACTGATTACTTACAGTTATATCTTCAGATTAAGTAAATTGTGAATAATATCAACACTTTATTTCTGAAAATCAGGAGTTCAGTGGTAAATATTATAGTGGACATCTGTCCTTATGATAGAGACACTAATTTAGAAGGAAAGAAGACTCCCTTTTGTTTAAGAAATCATTTGTAGAGTTTTGATAACTTTTATCTAACTTCTACCACTTCAGTTGTTTTGTTCCCAATTCCTCAGTACTTTAAAATAGAGTAAAACCACATAAAAGAATTCAGTTCCTTTAATACAATTCCAAAGGCAGTGACCTATTTGAATTTAGATGGAAATTTTTTTGGAAATTGTTGCTTGTGACTATATGTTTTTCTTGAGAGTTCAGCTAAGCCCTGTACAATATGTCTTCCATGATTTAAGAATCACTAGGCTCTCACTCAGGGGCCCTTTAGTGTTTGACGCAGGATACTGAGTAGGAGCCTGGATGCCTGCTTCCCCCAAGAGCATTCCTCGAGGTGACCTGATGCAACTAGGTGGCTCCTTGGCTTCAGTGCACCCCAGATGCAAGAATCGATTTAGGAAGCCAACTAGGGCAGCTGACAGGAGATTAAAAGCTGGATAGATTTATCAACCAATGTGTCTTCATTTTAAATGTAAGAATATACTGAAAAGCCTTCTGTTTGCAAAAGTGGTTTTCCATTTGAGAATGTTAGAGAATAATTTGTATAAGCAGAGTATTGGATTTATATGAAATTATAACTGTCACCAATTACTTTAAACTGGTTATAATATACATTGTTAGAAATATAAAATATTTTGCTTTAAGCTTTCTTAATAAGTTTTCTCTGGAAATAAGCACTTTTCAATTACTAATTTGAGTTCTGAATTTTTAAAATTATTTTATTCTAGGCCATGGTTATCTGAACAGCATAAACACCTGCCTGACAAGATCAAGGTCCTGGGTTTGATTCCCAGAACCATAGAAAAATTATTTTATTCTATAGGTTGTGTTTTTGAGATTATAAAATGTAAAAGGCCAAAATTATGCAATATTATCTCACTTTTTTAATACATAAGTTTATACATATTTGTGCAAAATTTGTTTCAAGGTAAAATGTAAAATTCCACACTACTAATTTTTACATTTTTATTTTTTAAGAAAGATATTTTTAATTTTCTCCTTACTGTTTTTCTCACATTGAAAATCTATAGTTTTATAGAATCATAATAATCAGTAGTATAGCAATGTTTTTGTTTACTTTTAGTATCTGAGATTATGATAGATACTTACAGAAGGCTGCCAAGCAATCAGACAGTGTTCCCGTCAGGTGGCATCGCCCAATACCACAGTGTCTCAAAGTTCAAAGCAATGTAGCTTCCCAGTGCCCAGTTTTTTAAAGGTTTATTCATTTTCCATTCCTTCTTCATTTGTAGCACTCTTCAGTTTCGTTGTACAGGTTAAAACCCTGGTATTTTTCTTGTAAGTTGTATATGAGTTGCCATTTGGAAAATTATTAGTGAAACCAATCTGATAGAGTCTGAAAGAATTGATTTCATACATCCTTAGGGAATTATAAAGGATAGGTTATTAAATTAAATCACATCATCGCATTTAAGAAATAAGTAAAAGCATATCTTTATTTTTAAATCCAAATAGCATCATCATTTGATTTCAGTCTCTTAATCTGTGTCTGTGTGAATGTAAACAAAAAACTTGATGAAGAATCTCTGAATTTTGGCTTTCTTACCCTAGAATTAGAGTAACTATTCCATCTTTTTATGTTTGTTTATGGTTAGGTAAACTTGCTTTGTAATAATTTTTGCTAGTTTTATGGCTCGTGTTCAGCTGATTCTCCCCTTTCCCTAGACAGATGACATCAATTTATAAAATGTCTATGAATCTGAAATGATGCAGGTAGTGTACCATGTGACAGATTATTTAGGGGGAACTAAGTCTCCAATCTCACTATCGGATATCTCTAATATAATCTACTACATACTTTTTCTCTCACACTGCTATTGCTTAACACTGAAGCTTCTCTCATGCTACTGTGACAAATTTCAGGTTTTCATGTCTCTTTAAATAATAATTATTTATTTTTGAGATATCTGTATAACCTCATAACTTTGGTAAATGTAGAAAACATGGCACATTTTCAGTAATTTAAAGAACTGAAAATTAAGAAAACAGGCTTAATTGAAGCAATGTGTGAGGGAATATGTCTATTTTTCAAAATTCTGAATATACTATAGCGAAATAGTCAATCTGTATCTCTTTCAGTCAGTCATTTCTGCCAGCTTTCTAAGTTCCTGTCAGTCAGTAGAACCCAGGTCTCAAATGCTCATTTGTGCTTTTTAGTCTCACTACAGGAAGAATTTTCAGCATGCTAGTCCATTAAAATTCCTGTTCGCTGTCACCTGTTTATCCTGCCTCCTTTCCTTTCCTCTCCCGTCCCATCCTTTCCCCTCCTCTCTGCTTTCCTACCCTCCCTTCCCTTCCTCCCTTCTCCTGTCTTCTTCGCTTTCCTCCCCTTCTCTTCTTTCTTTTGGACAGGATAAGCTCACCTTTCACTAAATAGCATCCTCTGCATTTTTCTTTCCCTTTATTGATGTCAAAGGGCTTCTGTGTTGTCTGAAGATCTGACACCATGAGGTGCTTTATCTGTCCTTCTTTATAGGAAATTACCTAGAGGTGCTGCACTGACATTATGGGCTGGAAGGAGATTACCTTTAATACACACATCTCTTCACAGAAATCCAAATCCTTTGGTTTGATGGGAAGGATTACAGATGTCCCTGTCTATTGCATTATGCATAGCTGCGGTCCCACAGAACAGTTCAGGTCAGAGGGAAGCTCTGTACTGTTTTTTTCCCCCAGTGTTCATGTATTAATGTTGCTCTTCTGTTTTGAATTTTTCGATCTACAAGTTTAGGAATCAGTCTTCACCTTTTCCTTTGTCCAAAGACTGTTATAAAATATATTATTCTAATCTACATCCTATTTAGTCTTTTGATATGTTGGGAAGGTGGACCTATCAGTAGCATCCTCTCACAAGCATGAAGGAAAGGAAACCAGTACTCCAGATGGCAACAGGCAGTGTTCTTTGACCATCTGTGGTCCACAATGTAATGATTTAAATTGTTTTCCTATTCTTTATTCAACTAAGAGTGGCAAGACCTTTGGAAATCACTATGTTAATGAGTGGTGGCCTCAACTTGGCCATTTATTTGTCTTTGGCCTGGGTAGTATTTGGCACTCCTCCTTGGGCCTGTGCCTCCAATTCCAGGTCACCAAAAAGCTACCAGACTTTTAAAAATTACAAGGAAGTATTTGTAGAACTAATTGCCCACAGGGTTCTGAATAGAATGTTTACTGTGTAGCTGCTTGGAACTTCCCAGGTATCTTAGACACTTCCTTATAGTAACTGAGACACTGTGTATTGTTAGCCAGGTAGATGACCAAGCCTCTTCACGCTGATTTCTAAGGTAATCATTTCCTCCTCAGCCCTACTGTGTTTGAAATGCTGGTGCCACCATGTGATGATTCCCTTTGGTTCTACAGTTCACTTAATGATAAAAAAAACTGGGTACTTTGTAATTCTATCAGAAAACTATAGTCTTCAGGCAAAAATGGCCATAAATTTACTGATGATTTGTTGCTGTTAGTCTGATTTATGACAGAAAAATCTTTCTTTTCATACAGGATCGATTGATTTATAAATTTAGTATAAATCTCAGCATTGCATACAGGTAAGACACAGACCTTGCTGAATCTATCTGAAGATCACAGAAGCAAATGCTATCATCGCAGAGTAAGAAAGCCTCCAACCTCATCTTCTTTTCTGACCTACAATGAGGGAAAGAGAATATATACTTTGTAGCCTGTGACTTTTTCTCTATCTGTCCCCCCATTTCCATCCTATGAGCTTTCACAAGTGCTTCTGCTGTTCCTCTTTGGAATACCTGGGCTTTCCAGGCTTCCATTAAGAGTTCAAAGTGACAGTGTACCATCTCTGAGGTTTATATAATTGCTGTATAAAACTAAGCTGAAAGTTGAATTAGGGAAGGCCTATTAATGCCTACGTTCAACTGCAAATTCTTACTTATGACACACTAGTTTTTTTGTATGTGATCTCATAGAGTAAGTCTGATAATAAACCTACGTGTTTGATTAAAGTCAACTATAACACGTTTATTTTCTCTAAGGGCACAGATGAAGTGCTTTATATAAATGAGCAATTATTACTGTTCATTGAAGTCCTGTGACATTGGAAGCATTTAAGTTGTGACAGTGTTCAAAACAGTATTTATATTTCAGATCTACTAGAAATTATATGTTACTTTATCAAATTAGAGATAAGCATGAAGAGGGCAACAATGTAAGTGGAGATTCTTTGAAGAAATATGTGATAGATCTCTAACTGATTCAGCATGATTATATTATGACTTTGTGTTTGATGGCATGTATTTAGAACCCAATAAGTGTATATAAATCAACAAAATAATGTGTATATTAATATTTAATATATAAAAACGATATGCTTATTGAAGTCTATACGAATTATTTTGCAGGTAGTGTTCTTTAAAATTATATTCACCATATGTAAAACATATTTGTGGACTTATCAAGGCACATAGTTGGCACATTTTGGTGTGCTCTTAATTTCAAGAATCTCTTTATACATGCTGATTATTTCACACTCTCTCCCTCTCTCCTCTCTCCACCCCTCCCCATATTATTTTAAAGTAAGTGTCTCTGGTTGTCTGCTTCTCAACAAAAGCTTTCAGAACACTTGCAAATAAAAGTGAGAATCAGGTTTTTAAGAATTCTGAAAATTAAGGATTCACAACAATTTGAAGTGCATTATTCTACAAAAAAAACCCCAGAAATCTCAGGCAGAAGAGCGTTTTGATGTATTGAAGTTACCTTATTCCCATCCCGTTTCTCCTCCTCCACTGCAGCCTTTAAAATAAACAGCCTTATAATACAGTAGTCATAAGGTAATAGACAGAATAATGTTCACCATAGATGTGTGTCTCATAAACCACAAAATTTAGGGTTACATTTCTTTACCTGTCAAATCAATTCTGAATGAATACTTAAGCAAAGATCTTGTGATGGGGGATTATTCTGTATTTCCTGTGTACACAGGGCTTCATAAAATCACACATGGCCTTTGAAGAGGAAATATAGAAAATAAAAGAAGAAAGAATCCAGCACTCTTAACTTTGAAGGTTGAGAAAACCAAAGAACGTAGGTTGCCTTATACTGAAAAAGGCAAACAAACATATTTTTTTCCAAAATGCTTCAGAAATAACAAAACTAAAGAAATTTAGATTTCTGACCTTTACAACTCTAATATATGCATGTAGTTTATACCTCTAAATATGTAGTGATTTGTTATTGCACAAATACAATATCTATTCAGCTTTTGGTCCTAGTGAGAGGTTCCTGTATTGATTATCTAAAATTATGTTATGACTTTGAAATTTGGTAAGAGATGGAAGCTAAAAGAATTTTGAAAAGAATAATAGAAAATGTCTGCATTATTACTTGAGGACACTGTTAGGAGCAATGTGATTTTAACATTGCTGTTAATGAGAAATCAGAAGAAAATAATCAAACTGTTACTGGAAATATGAAGAAAGGTAATTGCTGTAGGCAAAGATAGAATACTTAGTTTAATTGTATCCTATGTTTATTTGGAGAAAGATTTCTAAGCAAAGTGTTGGAGTCAGAGCCTGGTTTCTTATTTCTTCAGTATAATGACATAACAATGAAAAATATTGAAGAAGAATTTTTAAAGCAAAAAGTAACCAGGACTTGATATGATGAACTTCCATCTAATTTAGTTTACCAAAGACACTAAAATTAGGACATACATTGCCTGGAACATACCCTAGAGAGAAGGCCAAGGAAGTGGTTAAACCACCTTTTCAAGTATTTCTGGGGATTTAGCTCAGTGGCATAAGCGCCTGCCTTGCAAGCAGGCAGTCGTGAGTTCAATCCCTAGTACTGATTTAAAAAAAAGTATTTCTGCAGTATCAGAATTTCAGAATATTCAATTATCCTCAAAGAATTGTCACTAACTGGTCTTGAAGTTCCCTTGAAACCCATTGGCAGAGATTGTGCTCCATTAATGGTAAAGAGCTGCTTTCACAAACCATCAGTGACAGGGAAGCAATAATGTAGGAATGTAGGAATGTCATTTAGGAAGCTGACTAAAATATCTTAAAAGGAAAAAGTTGAACATCCAAAAAGGTATATTTTAAAATTTTTGACATATTCCTCGAAATCTATGTGTAGAAAAAAATACATGCAGAACTCTACACACACACGGAGGAAATTCAGTAAGGAAATAATCTCACCTTTGACTGACTTGAAAGCTGTGGGAGCTAGGAGAAGAAATTATGCCAAGGTTGTAAACAGCTGCCAAAAACATTGAAAGTATGCTCCTCAAACACACGCAGAACCCCTGGAAGCAGCTGGGAGATAGGTGGGTAGAAAGCACTTATGAGAAACAGTCTGTTCAGTAGATGATTTCTAAGCAAACAGATTAGAGGTAGCATGTACCTCAGAATAGGCACTAATAATTCAAAAATTCAACAAGCAAAGATAAGACAAACATGACAATCAATTCTGTAAAACAGACAAATATGATTACTAGCTTTGTTATCTTGTTAAAACAACTAGTTTTCAAAAAATTATGCAACGACAGGCACAAACACAGAAATAAATGCAATCAATAGAAACTATTCTAGACAATGCAGACACTGAACTTAATTAGGAAAATGTTTCGAAAGCTCTTCTCAGAACAAAGGATAAGAATGACATCTAGTGAAAAAAGATTATACGTGAATAAAATATATGTAAAAAATATATCATGAATATATTTTAGACTGTAGCATTTTTTGTGGTACAAGGCCATTGTACTGAACTACATCTATAGTTATTTTTACTTTGTGTTTTGGGTCAGGGTCTCACTAAGTTGTCCAGGCAGAACTCACACTCGCAGTGTTCCTGTCTAAGCCTCCTAGAGTGCTAGGGTAAAAATAGGCACCAGCACACTCAGCCTTTTTTGTCTCATGTAATTAAAAACAAAACAACAACAACAAAAAAAACACAGTAGCATGAAACAGTAAGTTTGCAGATGATCATAGGAAAATAAAGATATACATTGTATAACTGATTTTAAAAGCAATTTTAAGAACATTATGCTCATATTGTTAAGTCTAAAACATAGAAAAGACATATCCATGAATAGCTGTCCAAAAGAAGTATTTCAAACAAAGATGTATTGAGCTAAGGAAATGACTTTAAACAGTAATAAATCCATAAGAATAAAAAAGGGAAGCAGAAATAATGACAAGATTAATGTAATAAAAGTCATCCATCGTCAGTGTGGTTGATTTTTAATAAAAGAGTACATATATATATATATATATATATATATATATAATAACAACAAAACAAAACAGGGAAAAGGGAGGTAATCATATTGAGGTAATATTTATAGTATCACTGGAGTTAATATTTATCTAAAGAACATGAGAAGTACTATCTGCATTGTAAACTCTAGATTATTATACATGACTTGTAACAGACATAATACATACATATAGAGAGAAAAATAAGTCAAGGGATTAAATGACATGCTTAGAGGAAATATTCACTTTATGCAGACAAGAACTATATATGAGGACTGAAAAAGCAAAAGATACATGAAGCCCAAGAGGAAAAAAAGAAAAATAACACATGTAAGTCAAATTATACAAATAATAAATATAAATGAATTGATTAAACAATTCAGCTGAGAAGATGAGATTAGCTGAGTGAATAAATAGCATACAAGTAAGCCTATGTTGTCTACTATACATTTAATATAAATAAGTTAAAAGAAGAATCAGCAAAGCCATAGCATGAAAATAATTACCAAGGATAGTAGGATTTGGTTTAATACTGACAAAATTTAATTTAAGATAAAATGTTACTTAAAAAATTGAGAGAATTTTATGAAAATAATACATTAACCTGTTAGTTGATATGACATGACCATGGAAAGAAATAAAGATACAGATTAAGACTCATGAGTGGAACAAGGAATATTACCATCCACCCCATAAAAATAAAAAGATAAGAATAAAAAACTTGCCATAAAGGAAAAACTTGCCATAAAGAAGGATAAACTCAAGGAATTCATAGGTAGAGTGATGCAAATTGAGAATATAATGTTAAGTGAAATATGTCAGATTTACAAGTTTAAGTATCATCTGATTTCTTTCATGTGAAACTCATTGTATAAATAAACTGATGAGAAAGAAAGAGAAAAAAAGGGACAAGAAACAAGAGCAAAATAGAAGATAGAAATAGGAAGTGGGGAGAAGCTCAAATAATTCCTCAAATTACCTATTCCATTGTTTGAAAATATATTCATATACATGCTAATTTGTGTCATTTATATTGTACTATTGCTTTCTCTTAATTCATCAAAAAGAAAGTTTAGAGTTATTTTCTGTTTATTTCTTCTTCGTAAAAGAGCTTTTTGGCTTTGTTTTATATCCTGAGTAACTACTTTTAAGATTTCAAATACATGTATTAGCTATTTTTCTTATAATTTTGTTATGAAATTTTATTTTTTCATAAAATATAAAGAACAAAAAGGACTTTAAAGAATACTGGAAAGAGATGTATGTTTTTCAATTGTATTACTTAAGTGAAGTAGACAGTGAATGACAATAACTGACTGAAAAATAAAATCTTAATAATTTACATTAAGACATCATTTCAAAAATTTCCCAAAAGGATGTCTATGACCACATCCTAATTGGTGATTCTATAAAGCATTCAAAGAAGCACTTACACCAACTATTCTCTTACTATTCCAAAAAAATAGAAAACAAAAAACACTTTAACTTATTGTTGAAGAACAGTTTTATCCTTAATCATTGAAACAAGGGACTCAGCACAAAAGAAAAATGCACAATAGCTTTTATAACTGTAAATACAAAAATCTTCAAACAACCCCACTGCTAGTAAAACAAACTAATAGTTAACCCCACTACTAGTTAACCAAAAATGTCATATATCTAGACTAAGCAGGATTTATTTTTCTTTTCTTTTCTTTCTTTTTTTACTTTTATCTGTACTGGGGATCAAACTCGCAATCTCACACTTGCAAGGTAGGCGCTTATGCCTCTGAGATAAATCCTCAACCCCAAGTAGGATTTATTTCAAGAACATGAAGTATGGATGAAATCTCAAAATCAGTAAATTATAATACATCATAAAATATGAATCTGTACAAACATTTCAATCACCCAAGAAAAAGTAACTGGCCAAAATCATTTGGGAGCAACTCCTAAAAGCAATAGCTCAGTTAGTCAATGAGTAAATGAATTGGACAGTTCTTAAAAGAAGTACTGACAGCAAGTATATGAGAAAATGCCCAGAAACTTAGCTATTAAGGAAACACAAGTCAAAACTACTTTGAGATTCCTTCTCACTGCAGTCAGAAAGGCTATCATCAACCAGACAGAAAACAATGAATATTGGCTGGGGAGGACACAGAAAAATGGTACCCACATAAGGACTGTAAACTAATACAACCACTATGGAAATTAGTCTAAAGGTTCCATAAAAAATTAAAAATGGATGTACCATTTGTTCCAACCCTACCACTAGTCAGTATATTGCCAAAAGAATTGAATATAGCATACTACAGTAATACTTGCATATTCATGTTTTAAAATGTTATGATTTATAATATAATAGCTAAGCTGTGGAAACAGATTAGATGCCTATCAAGAGATGAATGGATAAAGAAAATGGAATATTAAATGGCTAAAGAAAACTGAACAATAAAGTAGAACAAAATCAGGTTATTTGCATTAAAGTGGATGAACTAAAGACTATCATGTTAAGCAGTTATAGTCTCAGAAAATTAAAAAATCACAGGTTTTCTCTTATGTAAGCAGTCTATAAATTAAAAACCACATAGGAAAGGAAGAAAGGGGGAAGAATATAAAAAAGGTAGGGTGAAAATAATCAAAATGTTATAGTAGGCAACTATTACATCAAAACAAAGTTTATTATTCTGTATAACTAATATCAAATAATCACAAAAAAAGATCAGTGGACATATGGAGGACAGAGTTCTAATAGCCATTTTCAAGTGATTCTGAAACAAAGATGCAATTTTTTTAGGTACATGCAGGTCACATGGGAATAAGTATAACATTTTTCACTTAGCTTGTCATGGTTTGACTTCTTGTTTTCTCCAGTTTTTTTTTTTTTCTGGTTTTAGTTGACAAATAGCATACACATACAAAATCACAAATGTTTTCATTGAAAACGATTTAAAATACAGTGTGGGTAATACACCATTGAAAGAAAAAGAAAAACTGAAGTGGAAATTGATTCTTTCTTTTCCCCAGCTTTTACTCTATATTTTGATTGAAAAAGCTATTTTTAGTGGTGACACATGATGAAGACAAGTGAAATCTGCAAGATAGAGAATGTTTTGAGGTTCAATTTTGATTTTGGTTCTTTCTTTCTCTTTCTTACTTTCTTTTTATTTGACTCTAACCACATGAATATATTTCAATTTTTAAATTAAGTAGCTCAAGCAGTTCAATCTGTCCAACTCTAGACTATTTATATAATCCAGATTATGAATTTTTATGACCAACAGCCTGCAATACGATGGAGACTTCATCAGAGACAATACCGAAATCTCCACCCGGATTGGAACATTTGACGGGGGTATAGTAATGCATTTGATAACTGATTAGATCCATAATGATATATATTTGGTTTTTTGTATCATAATTTATGCTATGAAATTTTGACTATAGAGTAAAATACAATGTTAACATTTACATTTTTATATTTCATTTCAATTTCAATTCTCATTTTTATTAAGATATTAAGGTCGCATTTTAAATATTACATTTATACTTATACATTTATTTTCTCAGAAACCTATTTAAGAATAAATGCCTATTTTTTTCAAAAAGGGGGATTGGATTTTAAGAACGCAACTTAAAAATTGACTCCAGAGATCTTTACTTCACCTAATATTTGAGAATTAATGGGCTAATATACAAAGGTGAATTATAGATACTAATATTAGGAAGCTTATTATGTACCAGATTGTATAAATCAAATTATCACTTGTTTATGCTATCAATTTCAATATAACTTCCCGTGATATTCTCTCTGAATAATTAGTTTTGTCAGTTCAGAGATCTGTAATCATTGTCACATCTTATTTTGTAATACTTTGTTTAAAAAGGTTGTTTAGATTTTCAATACTTAGCTATAAACATATCACAAATGAATATAAATATAAGGAATAAATTCTTTTAGAATCTGGATAAAAACTATATTAAACTTTTACTTTAAAATGCATGTAGAAAATTCTTTCAGAATTTTAATAACATTTATAAAATATATAACCAAAATATTATTCAATAAGTTTTCTTAACTAAAATATTAAATATATTAATAATAAGATAAAACATTCTACAGAATAACAATTTTCTGTTTGTCTGTTTCTATGGTAAAATAAATGGTAATATTTAATTTCTCCTACAGCGTGGAAGATTTGTGGCAGAAAAATTAGATATTGATATTTGATCAATTACTTTAAAAATCTTAAAAGCATTGATTTATTTCTGTTAGTGTGTGCTTTAAGTTTAATTTGATTACTTCACTACCTGTCTTTATTTTCTACTCTAATAGGTAAATCAATTACTAGTGAGTCAACGTTTTGATTTGGAAGGTGTGTACCCAAATACACAGAATGCATATTTGAAGATGTGATGTGTTTTGTTTTAGTTAGATCAACACTCAAGTCAAAGTGCTGCTTACATATGAGGAAAGCAAACATAAAGCCAACTATATTAATACAGGACAGAAGATCCTCAGAGATTGAATAAATGAATATAGTAGTAGTAGTCTTCTCATGGAAAAGAAAAAAGATATTTATTGCTTAAGATACTGATACACACTTTGATGTTTGCTAAACATAGGAGAGCTGAAATTGTTTTCCCATCCTGAATTCTTCAAATTCAGGCACTGAAAGAAGAAACAATTCCAGATTTTTCAGGAATTTTGCTAGTAGAAGCAGAATGTAGTAAATTTCCAGGTAGTTTTCAAGTCTGAGAAGTTCAACTATCTCTTAGAACTCAGTTATCTTAATGTCACGTGACAGAAGTATGTCTTTCAATTAGTTGAAACTACAGTCCGTGTAAATAAAATTTCTAGACTAAAATGGGCACTTACTTTTTTTTTTAAAACATACTTTCCAATTTGAGGTTTGCTATTAAAAAAATACTGCTTTGGATTTTTTTTTTTTTTTTTTTTTTTGCTGCATCACGTGAAAGTGCTTTATTTTATAAGTCATTTCTTTCAGAAACTCCCTGTGTACTCACAATGAACTAGTCATAAGCTAGCAGTTTTAAGAGACTCAAAGATTTACATCTGGCCTGCCCTGATGGACCTGCTTTGCTGTGTGAGGGGTGAACGCTCTTAAGGAAAGCATGTAATAGAGAAACAAAAGTTATCAGAGGGTAAAAACCAGTTTTAGAAATGCAAAAGAGGAATTATAGTAGTTGCTGTTAATTTGATAAACCACAAAAAGTTTGGGAGAGATCAAAACATTCATGTAGGGTAATAGTTCTCCAAACTGGTGATTTTCAAAGTGTGGCCCCGGGAGCAGAAGCATTAACGGCATCTGGAGCCGGAACAGAAATGCAGATCCCTAGTTACGTCATAGACCTAATTAAGTCAGAAAACCAAGAAGTGAGTTTTCAATCAACTATGCTGTATCAATGTGCAGGTGATTCTGATGCAGGGTAAATTTATAAAACTAACTAAATTAAGTGATATTTCATGTACTTTAACACTGCAGTTATTTAAAGAATAATATTTTCTAAAGAATTGTCATGGGTATCACCAAAGTATATTGTTCAATTAAAAAAATCACCAAATAAAGCATACGGTAGTGATATATAAAATTGGAGAAACAGAAAATGGAATAGTACTAAAAGGAAAATATTTTCACTTTACATTCCATTTTGCAATTTTAAAATTTGTGTCACGTTTGTAATTCCTCCTTATAAAATTAATTTTGAAAGGAAAATGGATAATATAAACTTTGCACAATGATTTAGCTTTCACTATAAAATAAAAATGTATGCCTTTCTAGTATGTTAACACAATATAGAAATACCAATCTTTTCATATGCCTATGAAATCATTAATGAGGAAGTGTGCATGCCAGTTTTAAAGTTTAGCAGTAAATATTAAATGTGTATTAGAGTAACATGTACCCATAAAAGAACAGTTGAAAAATCATGAAAAGTGAGAGAAAAAGTAACCTATGCACAACTGATAATTTCCTCTAAATGATTTTTAACGTAACCTTTTGAAGGCTAAGGGTGTAGCTCACTGACACAGTACTTGCCTAGTATGTGGGCAGCCTAGAGTTTGATTACCATTATCACAAAAATAACTATTATTTTGGTGAGAGTTTATAAAAACGTCACTTTTAATCAGAGCCTGTGAAAGTCTTATAGTTATTCATTGATGGTACTTTTCAGTCATAAAATCCTAGCATTTTAAATAACTATATAGTACTCCTAAGGAGGGAATATAGAGAAAGCATGTCTTATTATTTGATACCTATTTTATTTGTGTTTTAATTTCTCTTATTATATATACAGCAATAATTAATATTTGGGTGCTTATTTTTTTAATTTAAGACTAGTTATATTTGCAAAATTGCAAAAGTAAAATCATTAAGTCAAAAGTTAATATTTTCATTTTTTTGCAAAAGGGTGAATTGGGTTATTTTACTAAATAATATATTAGAGTCCTTCCCATATCCTTTAAGTTAGCATAAGTAAAATATTTTTCTTATTTATAGTACTCAGATTGAATCCTGATAGGATCTTTCTGATATTCTGCAGAAAAATAAAAAGGAAGAGAAGCAAAATTTAGTATAACTCAAAACATGACAGTAATAGGTTAACTTCTCTGGAATTAAAATTATACATAAGAGCATGAAAAGAATTTTAGCAGTAAAAATAACCAGTAGAGTAACTAATCTGTACTTTTCTACATGGGGAAGCTAAGGTATTAATAAACTACCGAAAGTCAAATACTTTATTATCTATAGTAAGCCCCACATTTGAAAGTAATTTGATATGTAATTTATACAATTCTTACATGAGTATTATATTACTAATAAATCACCATATTGTGTCATTCTTTAGTACTTGATCTTTTGCAAATTAATAAAACCTACGAGGTCATGAATAATCAAGGACAGAGAATTTATTTTGCAGAAGAGAGAAATAATTTTTTCCTCCAGTATCTTTGTGGAATTTCAAGGCCTTTTACTCTGACAGTCTATGACAATGTAGGTCAAGACATAATTACTATGCATAAAGCTCTAAGATGCAGTTGTTGCTGGAGTACCTGCTGCCTACAAAAGGTCAGTGAATGTTTTTGTATCATGTAATTCAGAATGCGTTTGCGTATATTCAAAAGAGCCTCAACACTGAGCAGTGTGATAAAATCTAAACACTGAATTTAAGTACAAAAAAATCCCTTGGTATAAAAAGTATGAGAAAGAATTAAATTTTTGGATCAAATAACTACAAAGTGAGAATTAGTAACAACAATGAAAGAGTGAGACTCCAGAATTATACACATATGTTAACAATTTATTTTCAAAAAAGGCACCAAGAATATTCAATTGAAAAGGAATCTTATGCTCAGTGATTATGGTATACATCTCCTTGTGTTTGGGTCTTCTTTAATAATTAGTCCTCATTAGTCCTATTCTAACATTTAGGTTTTCAGAATATTCTTTGTGGGGTATATTTGAGTATTTAATGCCTTTAGATTTAGTATATTATAATACTATACTACTATTAGTATCTTAATTTAAATTTTCCATGTTTTTACATATACCTTAAATTGGTCTATGTGTGTTGACTAAGTATCATTTGAACTTGCCGAAATCACTTATAAATTCAAGCAGCTTTTTTTGTAGATTTTAAAAGTGGTCTTTACTCTTCTGTGATACAGAAGTATACAGTTTACTACTTTATTTGAATGCTTTATATTTGTACAAGCAAATACATGAATGTATTCATTTTATTGACCTTTTATCCTTTTTAGAAATTAATAAAATGAATAAAAGTAGGAGACAAGGTAGTCCTAACTTTTGTAATGATTGTAGGGGAAAGAAATCAGCCTTTATCATTAAGCATATTATCTGTCAGTTTTTAGAAGATTTTTTATTGTCTATTGCTTATTTTCTAAATTTTAAGGTGTATTCATAGCTTCTTGTTTACTTTTCATTCCTTTCTGTGGACAAAATTCTTTGTATTATTTCCCTATTTCTAAACTTACCACTTTGTAATTTCTTATTAGTACCTATCTGCAGTGCCTAATGATTACATTCTGCTCAGGGAGCTGGTACACGTACATGACACTTCTTAATTCTTTTTTCAGCCTCTCCACTCCTCTCTCCATTTCTTGTTCCCCTTCCCTTTTCACACACACACACAAAATATGTTTATCTCATGAGATCTGTGTCTTATTTTACTGTTTATTTATAGTGTATGTTTCACATTTACGAGAAATCACATGACATTTAACTTTGTGTGTGAGATTTATCCTACTTAACATCCTGCTCTATGCATTTTCCTACAAATGCCTCCAGTTTATCCTTCTATACGGCAGAGTACCACCACTACGGAAATCAGAATGAAGATCCCTGCCAAAACCTAAAAATATTAATTTCATTTTACCCAAATATTCCTTTTTTAGCATTCTTCCTGAAAACATTAAAGACATAATTTCATAGGGATATACATCCATACCCAAATTTAAAGCACTATCATTCATAATTGTTCAGTTTACCAAGAATTATTTATTGAGTGAATATATGACTTATTTTGTGGAGTATTCATACAGATCTGAAAGATGTGTATGTTGCTATTGTTATACAAACGGTTTAATAATGTCAGATCAATTACCATTAGATCAGTCACATTTCTTATCTCCTTAGTAGTCTTCTGCCATCCTCAAAGTGAGGTGCTTCAATTTAAAAAATTAGTAATGTTATACATTCTTAAGGTGAAGTATTAGAAATGGTTTAGCTAGGCGGTCTTGGTTCATAGAGTCTCATAATGTTACAGTCAAGGAGTCTGCTTGGGGCTTCTGTTAGCATAACATTTGGCTGAAGACAGAATACTGTTTTCAAATTAGATTACTAAAGTACTAATGGACAATGCCCTCATTTTTTTCCTTGACTACTCATTGAAAGGAAGCCTGCTTTCTTGACATGAGCTGATTTTCAGTAGCTTAACTATGATGTGGCTAGATGTAATTTCATCTGTACTCATTCTGTTCAGTTTGAGGAGCTTCTTGTAATGTGAATATGAGAATTCTCACTGAGTTTTGAAAATTTGAGCCATAGTTTCTTAAAGTATATTATGCTTCTCATTCTCATACCTATTTCTGTGTTTTTAGTTACAGATGTTAGATGTTTGATATTTTTTGATACTTTGCTACCCCTTATTTTAAAATTTTTAAATTCAGTTTTATAATACGTATTGTTTTCTGAAACCATTCATTAAATAATTTTAGTAAAGATTTTTTTTATTTCTATAACTTGCTATTTTAGATTTGATTCTGTATTGTGATATATATTTTTGTCTTATAAGGAGTATATTTGACCCTTAGTTACTCGGAGTTTTGCTAATTGCTTTAACCTTCCACCAAATCTAACATCGAAATTTTCATTGATTGCATTTTCTCTGAAGTATTGTCCCCTTTTATTCATTGAAGTAATTTTTATATTATTGCGGATATTAAAAATGATGCCTTGTTAAAGCTAAAACTTTTGTGTGTCTCTCTGAGGAATGCTGGCTTCTTTTTGCTTGCTTCCTTGGATGATAAATTGGCTGAAGCTGCATTCAAAATTCTTTCTCTACCTGAGTGACACACTGAAATCTCCGATCAGTAGCTGTAGCCTGAACTGGGGTTATTAGTATCTGCCCTAAACATATGATAGCTCAGGAACTGAACTGAAATTTGGGGAATAATACACACACACATATATTGAAGCTGCCTACCTTTAGCTCTTCCCTTTCGGGGATTTTCTCCTCTATCTTCCAATGTCTTTGGTTTCCTCAATTCTCTGGTTTCTCGGTAACACTAGAGGTTTCCACCCAATTTTCAACACCTCATTACAGCCACATTGATTGGAGTCAGTCCTCAAATAACAAGTCATAAAACAGGAAAGTCACCAGATATAAAGGAAATGATACAATAAGCCTCCTTATGAGCGATTCATTGGTTTGTTATATTTTGAATGATCTTTTTCTTTTACATTTTCATAACCTCTAAATCATGTCTCAGTGCTGAGTATTGTAGGCTGGTTTTATTCAGGCATGTCCTTTCAACTGATAGATGAGCTTTTTCATTTATTTAGAGAAGTTTTATTGGTTTATAGATTTGTGTACTTATCCAATTTCATTGTTTTTTTCTTGAGACTTACATATTTTAAACTTTTTCCCTGACTCCCGTATCATTATGATATATTTGGTGATGTCTGTACTGCCTTCTTCCTGTGTTTTGATTTCTGAGCTAATTCTTTCCATTTTTCTAATATTTTTTGAGCTTTGACATTTTCATACTCTCTTTATTTTCTACCTTTGTCCCTTTGTCACTACATTTCTGACTTTTCCTAGTTCTTATTTATACCTCTGATCATATCATCTTCCATTTCTAAAAGTTTATTTCACAATGAATGCTCAAAATGAACATTAAGAGCTCAGTGCCTGTCTGGAAGATTCTGAGTTTGATTCCCAACACAAAACAAAAGAATGTTAGGTCAAGTTTTATATTTTGAAGGCAGGTTCTAGTGTAAATTCATCATTTGTAGGAACAATATCTGAACATTGTTCGCTTTTTACTATGATGTCACTGGATGTGAACACTGACATTGGCTCAACCTTGTTTACATTGTCACATGAGGGATGCTTGGATGGACTACTCAATGAATTCTTGTGTCTGCAGTGCTTCATCACAATTCAAACTTCTCACAGCCGCCAACAAATTAAGAACTATTTCATTCCATTGCACTTTCAATTGCCTTTCTGTATCTTTTATACTGAGATGGCTTTTCATTTTTGTAATGAATACTTGTGGTATCTGAATTTCATGGATTTGGGGAATACCTTGTGGGTTTTTTTTTTTTTTCCTGCTGTTCTTGTTTCTTGTTTCAGTACATTTATATGTATTTTTGAGGTTTTGTGCTGTTTTCCCTACTTTTTTTAGTAAAGAATTTGGCACTCATTTTGTTTTGTTTTACAATCATATTTGTTTTGTCCTTTTTATGGGAATTTTGAGGAGATTTAAAAACTATACTATGATTATTACCTTCACGATTTACCAGATTTCTTTTTGGAATGAGTAATACCTACTTCAAAAAAAGTTAAACAAGGAGAAGAAAAGAAAAAAGAAAGAGAGGAGAGGGAAGAGGGAAGGAAGCAGGGTAATTGAATAATTAAGAGAAACAATGTCTTGCAAATGCTTGTTTCCTAGGCCTCATATCCCTCTTCTGATATAACTCATAGTTTCTTACCTAACTTCCCACAGTTATTCTATCAGTATTTGTGAAGTATATGTATGTTGACACTATGTGTATGTTTTTAATACAATTAGTAATATGCTATCTTGCAAACTTCACACATAATAGAACTTGAAGACTATCAGTCCGTATAGAGCTCCTTCCAAAAGCTGCATTGCTAACCACTGTACTTCACAAAGCAAGTTTACTCAGCCAGTCTCTACTGACTCTGATGAAGTGGACTTTAAATGACAATGGGGAAAAATAATTGCAAAAATTCGTATTTTTATTGTCAAAGAATTATGAGAATACATAGACATATTAGATAAGTAAATAGCTTTTGTTGTCAAGCAGTTTAAGGCCTATCTCGCTGGAGTGGCAGTTTATAAAGTGATCTTCATGGATGCCTAAGGAAGGATTTTGTTTCTATCCTTTTGCAAACATAAAGGAAATTCCAGACTTGACACTTGTCCACATTTTAAGCAGCCGGTAAATAGGAAGGTCAGGTCTTAATTCAGGGATTTTACACTAAGCCTTAGGTCTTTCCACTTTTCACGTTCATATTCCTTCTGAGCCTTGAAGCATACCTTAATCAGAGAGTTCTGTTCTAATATAGCAGGGTTAGACGGTGACATGTAATTAAATGCACTGTTACTTACAAATCTAACATGTATGTTGGACCAATATGATTTTCAATCTTTTGTAGCTAATAGTTGAAGCTCCACCTGGTGAAAAAATTGGATATGTTTATCAATATTTTCATCCATTTCTCCCAAAGTTTAAAATAAAAAGCAAGGATAAGAAAGATGTAATGAAAATCAAAGGACCATGTTTAGTTTCCAACTGTCTCTGGAATCTAAATTTTAGAGTGAGTAATTCATAATATTTTAAGATTATAATGTTCAAAATAGGTAATAATTTTCTTATTTTCTAGTATATATAATTTGTTCACATAATTAAAAGAAAAATATGTTATTACTATTACAATTTGTCTCTTTTCAAAAATTGATTTACTAATTTATAGTGCCCTGGTTTAATTAAGTCCTAATAGTTCATGTACCTTATAAGGCAAAGCTATCTTTAAAGAATATTCTTATCAAACAACAAATTTGATATTTAATAATTCAATAATACTGTAAGAGAAAATTAAACTTTACTGCAAAGGAAAATGAGATAATTTTGCATATAGGTAACACATCAATGTTAATACATGTTTTACACTTCAGAAAATTCTGAAATTTCTATGACTAAATTCTTGAACATTTTTATGTTTGCTAATTTGCTTCGCAGACTTTGGTAAACATGTGGAAAATAATCTTGAATATTGGTACACATAAAAAATGCAGTTAATAAAATTAAACAACTTGCTTCCTTTACTTAATGCTTAAGATTCTTAAGCAGCAAAAATAATTTTATTGATTTGATAAAATATTAGATATACAAAAGCAATGAAGACTAAATGTTCAACAAGGACATTAAGAAAATAAAGTTGGGAAACTGAACACAACTAAAAACCTAATTTTCTTTCTTTCCCTACAAAAATTTCAGTTCATATTAATGATCCTGATTCTGATTGGCATCTGCATAATCAGATTAAGTAAAATATACATAAACAAATGAAGTTACAATATTGCTAGTTTGGAAAACAATGAAATGAGTACAAAGTATTCCACTCCTTTTCCAATTAGTTACCAAAGTAACAGAATTGCTTATGCACAGAATTTTAATAGTCAAAACTACCTTGGCTCATTTGTACTGATTTAATGATTTTGTGCATTGTTGTACTTCTTGCAATATGATGTAACAAATGCTACTTTATTCTAATGTCCTCAAAATGTTCTCTAAGGTAAATAAACACTCTCAATTTCTTCTGAGTTTGAAGCAAAACCTTGTTAAAGCTGGCATTCTTGGTAAGCTCCAAGAAGAGGGAGCAAGAAAGTCATTTTATGCATGAATGTGGGTAAACGTGTTAATAATTTTGCCTAAGAAAAAGAGAAGAGAGATAAAATAGTAGGTGGTTTTAGGGTCAGGACAAGGGTGAGCCAAATAAGGTACCCTTGTAAGTATAAAATAGTAAGGGCTCCCAAAAACTCAGTGATTAAAGTAATCATATTTGAAAGTAATATTTTTAAAAATCAAAATTAATGCCAAAAATCACTGCAAAGAAATATCAACTATTTAGGTTAATTTTATCTTGAATGACTTGTCTAAATGCCTTACCCTAATGCTATTTCAAGCTAGGTAATGCACAGAGTGGAGAGGGAGGTATTTTTCTAATCAATATATCCTTAGCATGATCTGATTTAAAAAGAACCAAATAACAGAGAAAATGTGGAGGTTCAGCAGACATCAAACAGTCTCTTATTTAGCATGAGATCTAAGATAATATAAGTAATTAGCAACAAATAGGCGTAGAAATGGTCTGTTCACTACTTACAAGACTATAACGTAGAACAGATAAATGGTCTGTATACCTGTCACTTTCACTGTGTGTCATTAAGCCCCTCTCCCACTTCACACCAGTTATGATGTCTCCTTAGTCACAAGATGTTGTTTTCTCTTTCTGGGATACTCTCTCTCTCTTCATTTCTCTCATCACCAATTTCTTCTGATTCTCTAAATGTCAGCTTAAATGATGTGATTACCACCAAGCCCCTCGCTGTAAAACCACCCTCTCCATTTTTTAGTCTGTTTATTGCCCTCTATTGTTCTATTTCCATACCTCTTTCCTTATGCCACTCAAAGGCAATCAGTAGGATTTCTCTAGGTTTGTTGTTTTATGTTTGCCTGAGTGTTTCTTATGCTGAAAGAATTACTATTATTTGGTATAAGAAGTGATGCTATAGCAAACATGTAATTTTTAATCAAAAATTGAAACCAAAAAAAACAAACCAAAAAGAAATGATGCTTTAGGGAATCTAAATAGGAAAAGGTGGGGATGAGAAAAAGATGAAGGAATCCAGACAATTCAAATCACTTTGGAAGAACTGGATTAACTATGGAAAAAAGCTGAAAAGTTAGTGGTTTCAAATTATAGTTAAACCGATTCTCACATCAAAATTAGGTAAACATTGCCCATAGATGTTTGCCAGGCTGTCATGTGTCTATGTTGCATTATTTATTAATAATGGGTATAATTTCTATGAATGTAAAGTATAAAGGTCTATTTTTGCAAGTATAAGGTATTTTTCTTGAATATAACTTACACTGATTGCTAAAATTATTAAAAGAATACCCTTGCTTTTTATTTCAGATATTTTCAGCTAATATTATACATATATTTTTTCCTTTTAGTTATCATCTCTGGAAGAAGAAATTGATATTGGAAATATTTCAAAGCAGTGCACCAGATTTGTGAGGGAACAACAAAGAGATGCTAATAAATTTAGAATCCAGTTTCCAGTGGACCTTGATGTTAAAAGTAAAGCATTGATTCTTGGAGCAAGTTTCCTCATTGTGAGTTGACTTCTATTCTACTTACCTGAAAATTGTATTTTCTGATCCTATCGTTGCACTTTACTAATAATGCTTCACAATTTGCAGTTAATTGTCCCTGAAATTTGTTCCTTTATGCTCTCATCCTTGGTCTCCAAACTATATCATATTTTCAGTGTTCACACTGTAAAGAAAGCAAAATCTAGACTGCCCTAGGAACCATGACCACTGAAGTTTAAACCTTTTTCTTAATGGAAAAAAAAAAAAAACATTAACCCACTAACAATATGGAAAAAATTTTATTCAATAAATAAATTACCAGTTTTGGTTATCATTTTAAATTGTAATTATAAAATTGTGTAGCATTTGATTTAAATGAAAATGTATTGTTAATTTGGAAACTTAGAGTCTTAGTCCACTATACTGCTATGAGAAAATACTTGAAACCTAGTAAGTTTTAAACAATATAAATTTATTTCTCATAGTTCTAGAGATTCAGTTGTTCTGACACCTGGTAAGAGCCAAATATTTGCTTCAGTAATGGCATCTTAACTCTTGTGTCCTGTAGAGACGGTCAACATTATGTCCTCACACCGCAAGTTATCAAGATGTCAATTAAATATATTCTATACAAGAGTTTACAGTAATTAGCAGCAAATATAAATGTACAAACTCATCATGTAAGATAGAGCTTAGCACAATTTGTAAGAAACAGCTTCTGTGCCCACCAACAGATCACTAGATAAAGACACTGTGATAGTTAGACACAGTTGAGAATTATTGCGCCATAAAGAAGGATTACTTGATGCACCTGGATACTATAATGTTAAGTGAAATAAATCAAATAAAACACAGGTTTAAATATTGCCTTGTTTCTCTTATACCATAAACTTAAAAATAAAAAAAAAAGATGGATAATAAGAAGTAGGGAGATTTTTTAAATGGGAAGAAGAACAAGAGATAGAAGATCAGGGAGGGATAGGCAGGAAGGGAATAAAAAAAAGATCAAAGACATGTTATGTACATGCACATATTTCCTATGATAAACAGTCATCATGTTCTTCATGTACTAATGAAAAAGAAAAGCAATGAAAATCTTATTTGATTCCAACATAAAATAACACTGATTAGATTTAAAAAATAAGATAGAAACAGTTTTAGAGAATTTTTAAGGGATCTTGGATCTTTATAAGGGATGAACCTAAAATAATTAAACTTTGAAAAAAAAAGGATGGATAAAACATTAACAGGCAAGAATGACAAAAGAGCTGAAATCAGAATAATTAGACTTTAAGACCAGAAAATATTAAGACAAAGATAGATTAACTACATGATGATAAAATCTTTACTCAAACAGGACACAATAAGAATCTTAGATTTTATTGTTTGTATCTTAGACTTGGACTTTAGACTTAGACTAATCTTAGACTTTATTTTTAATATGAACCTAGTAACCCAACCTCAAAACAGAGATGCATTAAAAAGTTAAAGATTAATAAAGCCATCCTCATAATGAGAAATTTATCAACAGGTCTAAATTTTTACTAGCTACGAGATACAATATTAATTAAGTTACTTAAAACTTGAACAAAAAAAATAACAATACTGATTTAATGGCCATTTATAGAATTTCTCCCCAAGTGATTAACATGTAAAGTGATTAGTATGTATTGTTCTCAAACAACCATCATTTGAGGGCAATAATTTATCTCATAGAAGACCAAGAAGTACATCTCAATAAATTTTAGGTAGTTAGTATCATGCAGACCTTCATTGCCTGAGAAAATGAGAGTAGAAGTTACTAAAAATAAATATGATTACATTTTAAATATCTTTATTTAATGTAAATAAATATAAATAATTCAAAAATTAAAGAGATGTAATGAAAAAATTTACATACATCAAATATATAATAATATTTTACAAAAGTCATGGTATACACTCAAAGATTTAAAGAAAATGGATAGCAGGAAGTAAATTGAGTAAAAAGAGAAAATTAAAAAGCTAATGTTAATTAAATCTGAAAATTTAACAAAAGGACAAAACAAATCCAAAAGCAGTATAATGAAGGAGATATTGCGTCCACTGAGAAAACCAGGATAAAAGAACAAATACCACAGTTAGCCTTTGGCTTGAAAAGATCTAAGTTAGGAAATCACACAATAACAGACCACTAAATCCAATATGCTTCAAAACAAGTCATTATCAAAATATTATCAAAAGCAAAAACTGAAGTAAGGAAAATATATGGCACAAAATATGACCAAGGAATAATATTCTCAAGAACCACCCAGAGTCTCCCGAGATCCATGCCATGTTGGAACTTGGGGTGCTGGGAAACCAAGCAACCAACCCACTTCCCTGGTAAGTAGCCATTAACCATCCCGGAGGTCTGAGCATCTCTTAGGAGGTTGACCACATGCAATATAGCAAATAGGGGGATTTCCTTCTACCATCTCTTTGAGGCAAATAGTTATTACTGTTTTGCTTTGTTCTGATTAATTGTATTGCTCTATTCAATATTCTGTTTTGATAAGCTCTATAATATTGTGTTTGGTTTGATTTTGCTATACCTAATTGAAAGAACAACTACTGTGAAGATAACGAGATATACTATGGCACTTATTATTGTTATCCCAATAACCTGCTGTGATGTTCTGTACCAATTTCACTGCACTGTCTCAATTGGCTGTGTTCTGTCTTGTTCTTTTATTTCATTACCTTAAAAAAAAAGAAATAATAGTTTCATGTTAACAAAAATTGCACTAAATGACAAGAAAAATATCAAGTTCCCAATAGAAATGAACAAAGAGTTCGAAAAAAATTCAAACAACTTGTCAAAGAGGGAATGCAAGTAACCACTGGATTCAAGAAGATATTTTGAAAGCACACAAAAAGAGATAAAATATTCTCCTTCATTTATCATAAAGTTATTCTTTTAAGGATAAAGTTTAAATGTTGATGAAGGATGATATAATCAAGTGTTCATGTACTACAGGTAAAACTTCTAGGGAATAAATTGAAATGGTAAAAAATTAATGTTTCCATTTATTTAGATACAAATAATTATGCATAAGAATTATAGTAAACAATACAAGATTTATATATCAAATTCTTTAAAAATAAGGAAAAAAAGTAACCTAAATTTTAAAAGCATATGTGATATATATAAAATGTTAAACTAAACTAAAAAGGGCTCAAAATGAATTTTTGAAGAATTGTAATGACCTGAACACTCAAGATATTTTATGCAGTACAACGGTAAAATTTAACTATAGTATAAATCAGTTGTGTCTTCCTAGAAAAAAATTTAACAAAATTATTAATGGTAGATTTTTAAGGTTTGACTATAAAATTTTCCCTTCTCTTTTCCAATTTTCTACTATACAAATTTTAAAAATATATTTATAAATAAATGAGCTAGAATTTGTTGCTGATCTCTATGGGCCTTAATACTCAAATTTGTTACTTTGATGTTTTTAGTAGTAGTCAATCATTCTTATGCTCTTAGATTTTGGTGCCTGGGAATTCTGATCCTGAGAATTTTGTTTTTTAATATGTTACATTCATGCTATTATAGCCTAAGATCTAAGAAACATTCACATGTCTAATACCTGTAGCTGTTTCTACTATTCAACCATCCTAATTGCATTTATTTGTCATTTTTTATTTTAGGACTACATTTATTTTGAAATTGGGCCATAAGAATCATCCTGAAAGACTATGCCAGAGATTACTTGAATTATATGTTGGCAACTCTCATCAAAATTAAATAACTTCCCTGAAAATATGTGTTTATTTTGGTAAAATTATTCATAGGAATTTTTCTGTACAGTAACCCATTCTAAAAGTTAGTAACTTAAAATAAGTACTGTATTTAGCTCAGGAGAATGCTGTGTGATTCTCACCAGGACCTGACTCATTTACCAATATATAGTCAAGTAAAAGATTGATTGAGGGTTGACTCTTCTCAGAAGGTTTTAGTAACTTAATCTGGATTCTAGCGGGGGCAACAGAAGCAACAGTTCACACATTTTTCATGATCCACAAGGTCAGTCAAAGCTCTTTTTAACGTTTTGCTACAACATGTTCATAGCACACAATGTTTACAATCCTTGCGTGGAGTTGGCACATGCCCATAACATACCCTAATCCTTTTGTCATTCCCATTTCCTCCTCTCACTATCCTCTCCCTCCATTTCTTGATTTCTTCCAGCTTGAGAAAGTTCCACCTTCTACTTCCTATAACCTATCTTTTACATACAATAATTATGTTAGTTCAAATGTTCAAACTCATTTTAGCTAAAGCAAGTTCCATTTCTTAGTCTAGATTCAAGGAGTAGAAAAATAGATTCAACACCTTTATGGGAGTTGCTTCCAAATATGCCCCTCAAATTTGCCATTTTCTAGGCTAACGCAACAATTATTTACATTTTCCTAATATATAAAATATTATCAACTCTCACAGTATTGCCAAAAATCTGTTTCAAGCCTGCTAACAGGGTCAAGACAAGCATCATAGGGTTAGTCTTTTATGAATGCAAATGAGCAAACATAGATTCAGAGACTTGACTAAAAAAATGCCACTGAACATTGATCAGTTGGTTAAGATCAAAACAACTACAACCAACAAACGGGATCTATACAGTAGTCACTGGTACACAGTAAGGCTAGAATAGTTCACATGCTTCCAGTTCCCCCTACACTAGGAGTAAAGCTTAACTTGCAGGACAGGGCTCTCTTTTCTATTGCTTTACTCTTCCCTCGTAAATTTTGGTTTTGTTGTTGAGATACTTGTCCTTTCCTAAGCAAAATATTTATCTGGAGACATTTCTCAGTTTTCTTTTTGTCACTAAAAAATGGGTAACGGTTATCTTTTTTTGTTTTGAACTTTCTCAATCTCTTGAAGTCTGTTTGTACAACTCTCAAAAACTAGACTTATGTGGGTTTCTGTGTATCAGATTTCATTTACTCAACTGAAAAGCCATGACAATTTTTAAAGTTAGATTTTTCTGAATGAACTCATTTATAGCTAGCCTAATTTCTTTCTACGAGGGACAGGTTCCAAAAGGCAGAAAAGGAGCATATTCTTATGAACAAATTTTTTCAAGCCTATTTTATATTATACTTGTTAATGTTCTACTGGCCAAAAAAAACCACCTGGCTAACCCTGCATTCTTGGAATACAGAAAGAGATGTCACCTTAATGGGAGGAACTGTAAAATACTATGTATTTTTTTAACAATCTAGCACATTATTTCAGAGATGACTTTTCTTGATTTATTTTACTTATGAAATAGTTTTTAATTTGTAACTTTTCAGTTGATTGAATTATTTATGATAATTCTGAGATGTGGTTGGTTTCAAAGGTAGTATCAAATGAACAGGACACCCTTATATCAACTATACTTTTAAGACAGACTCAGTGAAATATAATAAATAGCTGAATGTTTGTACCCAAAGCTAACGTTCCTTTTTATAAAATTCTCTGGATAAAGCATCTTTTGTAATAGAAGCATTATTATTGAATTTATTTCTGAATAAATTCTGTCCTGGTAGGAGATATTTCAATTTGCAGTCAATTTTTTCCTTGAAATGAAAAAAGAATAAAAAATCCTCCTACTTTAAAGGTAATGACTCTAGAAAAAAATGTCACCCAAAATTCGAAGGATCAAAAGTGGATCACCAAAAGGAAGAGCAGACAGACAGGAGACACATACTGCATGGAGAAGGAATCCAGCACCTTCTCCCCTTCATTAAGAGGTAGACGAAGCCCCACATGCATGACTGAAGATGCTGCTGGTTGAGTGCTGCGTACTGGGGGAGCCACATGCAGAGCCCATTCTTTGGTCTGACCAGGAACAAGTGAACATTCTACCTTTCAGAAACAGCTGTGAACTCCACTCCTAATTTTACACTGTGCAAAGTGTAGATGAATGACTTAAATAATGCTCAGTACTTACCCCTTAGTCACAAATCTATCTCTGTGTGTAATATTCTTGTTGCTTTTCTTTCATTTGAAGCTTCTTGAATTTCCTTCCTTCCTTTCTTCACTTCCTAACCCTCTGTTCACCATCCAATCCACTCTGATCCTTTTGTATTTCCACCATTCCTTAACTTTCACCAAGAAATTCTTTTAAAACTTACCTTACCTGATTTATCTAAGGCATTTAATATTATTGACTCTTCTTCCCTGAACTCATTCATTGATTCTGTAGCTTAGATGTGGAGTCCTCCAACAACTTGCATGTATCAGAGTTGTTCTCCAGAAAGTTGCTACTGAGAGGTACTGGAAACATAGGAGGCCGCAATGAAGAGGATTATCAGTGAACATCGTGGCTTTGTTTCACATTTTCTTTATTTTTTGATATTTCAACCATATGTAACATGTTTCCTGTGTATTTTTCATAGTTTTGATACATGGTCATATTGAGAAAATGTACTTCTGGTCCTAAATTGTTGAGATTTTTATCAACCTAAATTTAAATAAATTCTTTAATATGTCTGCTTATAAAGCCATATATTCTTTTTCTTTATTCTGATTATCTGGTAAAATAGATGAATTAACTTTAGAACATTTAGCTAATTATGAGTTTTTGTCATTTCATTCATAACTCTATATCCCACTTGTTTTGCTGAGTTGAGTTACTTGATATTCTGATGAAGATATTTAGATTTTTGTTTATGAGGGATTTTGGTCTATAATTTTCTTTTAATATGTTTTTGAGATATAGAATCCCAGTTAATGTGACCCAGTAGGATGATGATAAATGTTAATGACTGGCTTTTCAATATAGCCTTATATTAAGAGCAATTCTTTTTTTTTAATACCAGGAATTGAACTCAGGTCTTTACACTTGCCAGGTAGGTCCTATGTCACTGAGCTACATCCTGGCCCAGTTAACCTTATTTCATAGTCATTGGCAATGACCTTGCAATAAATACCTTCTGGAATGGCTGATTTCAACCTATCCAGTGTGATGCCACTGAATGCAGAGATGTTTACCAATGATTTTTGTAAGCCTGTGTAAGTTGTCTCCAATGCACCTCTGTTCTGACCTAAATGAAAAAAAAAAGTTGGAAATTCTTACAGGGTTTTAACTAGTGAGTTTAAACAATGCTCTTATCAAGTCTAAATATATGATATATATATATATATATATATATGTAGTTGAAAATGAATACATATGGCTATATAATAAAATATATTAATAATACATGTGTGTTATTACAGTCTCATGTATTGTTTCTACATTATATATACATAATTTTTGAAGTATGTCTTTCAAGTGACACTGTAACAATATGTAAGTGTCATATTGTAATAAAATCAAATGAATAAAAGGCAAAAAAAAAAAGAGAAAACCTTCCCAACACCATTGCATAAATATATTTGTAGTTGACTAGTAATTATCAGTGGTTAATATCAAATAGCAGTGGAGAAATATTTATGAGTACAGTGGTTCACTTTATCTCATGCTGACATTAATTTAATAAGTAACACAGATTTCTCTTTAGCTAAATCATTAACTAAATTACACTGGGAAAATAAAACCCAGAAGTAAAATCCATTGCTTTAAGGTAGGAAGCACTTACATATCTGTTTGGAAATTCAGTAAGTTTTAGTGTGAAGTTTTTTTGTAATTCACCTGAAGATTTCGCATTTGTTGTTGAAATTTATCACTGCCATTCAGTTCCAGGAAAACTTTGACATTGCATTTCATTTCACTTCAACATACACGTTCAAAATTTGCAGTAAATTTTAGAGGTTCTAAACTATAAACGACAAGCAAGTTTGTATTCTAGTAGCCAAGAGCCCCGTATAGGAGGAGGAACACCCTTAAACAATGAAACTCTACTTGAAGAAGTTAACATAAGATGCTATTGCAAAAACTATAAATAACACATTCTTTCTAGGCAGAATACAAAGTCTAATGAGAATGTTTTAGCATCTCTACTTCCTCCCTCCCCACACATTTAGCATTTTTAAGATAATTCCAAGAAAAAGCATTCCATCAATAAAACAAAGGAAGTCACATTTCTTCCAAATAATTGCTCCTAGGAAATGAAAACTGACATTTGAGTGGGAAAGCTATTTTACAAATAATGAAAATAAATGGGTCAGTCTCGGGATTATCTATGAACAATTTTCCTTATTGATTAGTGAAGGTTATATTCATTATAAACATGAAGACTGCTTAAGAAAATGCTAAGATATCTCCCAAAAGCAAGACTAGATGCATAAATTTCTCAGACCAGTGAAAACTACACATGCAGTACTCCTTGTTCAAATATTATTGAAATTTCAGTGTGGCAACAGAAGCCCAGTAATCGAAACACTGGCCCTTTATAACTGAACGGGTTGTGGGCCAAAAAGTCAGCACTGGCCAGAGGGTTGTATGGGTCTATTTCACCAGGCTAAGTCTTTCTCATTTGCTCTAGAATTAAAACTATAAATCTTGAAATATACGTTATGCAAGTCTAAATCTTAGTTCTGACATATTACTTCTGGGTATCGGACAAGTTATGAAATTTTGTATTTCCTCATTGAAATGTGGCCACACAAACTTATACTTCCACTTAAGTTTCAATATAATATCTGAATTCACATGTCATTTTTCCTGTTAAATGTACAAATAAATAAATATTAATTTTAAAAAAGTATGTGGAAATCAGTGATTGAAATTACTGCCATTGGTTTTAGAAATACAAATTTAAATAGAACAATGTGGGGGGGATTGTCTTAATTCCTTTACCCATTGATTTCATCTTTCATTCTAGTTGTGAGTTATCAATCACAAATAAAGTTCATTTATAAAAAGATTATTTTAAAAGAAGTTTCCTTAAATATTTAAATAAAAGTTATTTGGGCTGAGAATATTATTTCTTCAATATTAGAAACCTAGTATCACTGTGTTATGTAATTTCCATGTTTAAAAATTGTGCTTTCATTGTCATATTTCACATCTAATTTAAATATTCATAAATAGACTTAATTTATGTAAAGTTTTATCATTTTAAGAGCATGTTGCTTTTTGTCCTGTCTTCATGTTGGGAGAGAAAAAAAATGCTGATTCTAAATGCATAGCTCCCTCTCTCTGTGGCCTGTCTACCTCACTGTCACCAAGTACTAGAGAGCCAGTTTTTTCTGCTATGTCATTGGATAACTATCACCAAAGCGGGAATGACCTTTTTCCTTAATAAGATCAACACTTCCTCACCCTATTAAAATGGGAAAGCAGCAGGAGGCAGAGCACCCATCTCTGCCAGCACCCAGTACCACCATCCAAGAAGATCTTTGTAGAACATTGCAAAAGCAAGAACCCATATCCCTGATGGCCATACCTATGAGTTTCCACCTGAATCATGTGAAGCATGATGCTCGGGTGCCCTCAGATTTTGTACCATGAGAAAATTAAGTTAGCAGGGGATATTCAGAAAGTTTTATCTCATTTTTCTAGGAAGAAACATACAGTCAAATAGGTCAAATGAGATGCCCAAATTTTCAAATCATGTGATCAGCATTGATGTGGCATTTGATTCACGGATTACAAGATAAATTGCCCGTGACAGACCTCTGGAAAACAGTACATAAACTATTACTATATATGAGAATCCCTATGCTTTATATATCTATGAATGTATTTAATCCTACTTCAAACCACTTTAAGAAGTATTAGCAAAAACTTTTTTCCCCCCCCTGTGGAAGATGTTGAAGCAAGAGGAAGTTGTGTATTTTCCTTCAGCTTCTCTTCCATGTTGTAATACAGCCAGCCAGTATTTCATTAGTGCCAACACCAGGAGTTTGGCCTTTCCAGTATCTTTATACACTACTCAGTGTCAGATATTTTATTATAGCAACACTGCACAGACTAAGACATATAATCAGTGGAGCAAGAATGTAGGAAATAATCATGGTATGGGAAGCAGGAGACATAAGGAGGATACCTATATTCTGCAATTAGAAGAATGATGAGAATAGATGTGAATGCTAATTAGAGAATGTAGGCAGCACATGGAGATAACGAAGCTCACTCTTGTTGGCCTTCAGTTTTGCAGTAAGATACTAACTAGATCAAAATCGATGCCATATTGCTCTTCACTTGCCCATTCTATCAACTGGTTCAAAATCTGTAATGCATAGGTTAATGAGAGAGAGAGGAGGGATTTCTACCTATAATAAGTTCATGGTCTAACAGGATTTGAAGAAAGCAAAGATCGACAGCAATAATACAGTGTGATGAGGGCCTTTACTACAAGGAAAGAAATATTATAAAACGTCAAGGATGTTTATCAACTAAGATGGGCCATCTTAGGGTACTATATTGCAATATATTATCATTTTAAATATATTCTAACATTTGTGCTAATAATCTTTGTATAGAAACTTGAAGATCATATTAATCAATCAAATTGTGGTGAGTTAGGGGCTGGGAATTTAGCTCAGTGGCATAAGCGCCTGCCTTGTAAGCAGGCAGTCGTGAGTTCGATCCCTGGTACCAATGAAAAGGAAAAAGAAAAAAAAAAAATTGTGGTGCGTTTACACTGTAATATTACCTAATAATAAAGATCTTTGTTAATTAAATAGAAAGCATGCGTAATGCATTATTGACTGAAAAAATGCTTAGGAGTATGTATATTGTAATATTTCAAAGTAAATTATAAACCAAAGTATAGAGCAGTAACTCATTGTGTGCAATATTATATAATGTTTACATCTTAATTATTATAGTTGCATTGCAATAATGTAAAGAATATTTTTGGGAGAAAAGTGTTTAGGAGGAAAGTAAAACAGTATTTGCAATGTCTCAGAAAATGACAGAAGGCTTATATGATTGTGGAAGTTGCCAAATTAAATACCTGCACAGTAAACGACGGACTGATGACTTCGGGATGAGATGATGCTCTAAAATCCCAGAATACTTTACAATGAAAATTTGGCTAAGAAGGCATTAATGAAGTAGAACAGGCTTTGGGCAGAGATAAAAGGCACAGGATTATCTACAGCAGGTGAAGCACCGCCACCTGAGGACAAGCTATAAAGGAAGCAACTGGCTATCTTTGAATTAGGCTGAGGCTACAGCACGACACACAAGCCTAAGAGATCCTGATGGAATATGAACTGAGGTTGTAATACACATTTTTAAAAGTCTGTGGTTCAGCTAGTTATTGATTAACATCTCCCCAATATTTCTCCCTTCCATTCTTAATTTCCATTTTTTTAAATTAACTCAAGGGCATTTCAGAACTTTAATCACTTTAAAAATTTATTTTCATACACATACTTACAGTGTGCCCGCAAAGAGAAACATATGCTTGCACCTCACCCTCAAATTCCCTACCTGTTCAACCATCTCCCATTGTGAAGCAGGACCAAGTACTCCTTGGAGATTAATCAAATTTCCTCTGCCCACTTCTGATTTTTCATGAGGTTGGAGGACATCTGGGCTCTGCCTCTGCTGTCCACAGGCTGTGGTCTCCCTGTGAACAACCAAGCAACTGAGTCTCATTAGTTCAGAAGCAGCACTGTGTCTTAGGACAACAAAGCATGGAATTAGCCTCTCCTGTCACAGCACAAGGGCCACCCTCTCCTAATCCCCCTCTTTGCTGATGTCTCTTCCTCCCTCCCAGATCAAATGGGCCTCTTCCAGTTCTGGGCAAAAGAAACAAAGCGCCCGGGTCCCCTGCCCAAGTGCTGGCCTCCAGCACCGCATTGGCAAGGCCAATTCTCCACCCAAGGGTCTGGGCTGGGAGCGCATGCAAATGCGAGGCTCTTGCGAAAGTGCTTTCCTCCCCTCCAGCGCCGGGGAGCTAATCCTCCCCTGGCAGAACTCTTCTGGGACCGCAGAAGTCTACGTCCGCAGAGAGGCAAGTGTGGGCTGGCGCTATCTTTTTTATCTTTCACCGTCCGCTGCTGCTGGCGCGGCGAGGGCTTGTTTTCGTCTGCAGTTCCCGCCGGCTCGGGTAGTTCAGGTCGCAGCCAGGCCGGGGCGCCAGCTCGCACAGCGGGCCGGTCCGAGGCCTGGGCGGCCGCGCGCCCCTGGGGATCCGCGGCGAGGGCGCCCGGAACCGGGCCTCGCCCCCGCTCCGAGCCCGAGCTCCGCTCTTCCCCGAGGGCCGCCGCTGCGGCCTCCCTCCGCGCCAGGAGGGCGGGGGTCGGGCGTCGTGGGCGGGCGTCGTGGGCGGGCCGGGCGCAGCCTCAGGTGGCTGCAAGTTCCGTGGGGTGGGCAGCGAGCTGCGGCAGCTGCGGCAGCTGCGGGTCGTGGGTGGAGGTCGGCCGGGCAGCGGTCAGGGACCCCGATCCCCGCGCGGGGCGGGGCTGGGCGGCTAAGCTCGTCCGCGGGCCCGCGCGCTGCGGGAGAGGTGCTGCGCCTCCTTCCCGGGCGCCTCTCCAGCCGCGGGCTCGGTCGCGCGTGGCCTGGCTGGCGCCGCCTGACCGGGTCCTCCCGCGTCCCGCACAGGTGACCGGTGCGCATCGCCTGGGACTCGCGGCCGAGGACAGACAGGTAAATGCGGATTGCAACTTCTGTGGCAGGGTGGTGTTAGAACCTGTCTCTCACATTGTCAGTTTGGGCAAACTGGGGAGAAATAATGTATTCGTGGTTATACTTGCGTTCTAAAAAATAAAACATTCAATTTTCAAGACTTATATTTTTCGTTATTTGTTCTGCGGTTTTGCATGCTCCTGTATTTATGACCTACAGTGTAGTTTTTAGTTTTATATTGCATATTTAAAATAGAGCCACTAAAGTAAGCATAATGACGATTTTTATTCTAAGGTTAATTTCAACCACATTAAGTGGGCGTAGATACAACATTTTAATTTGTGTACTGTTGTAGTAGAAATAGATAACCTCAAACTGTCTGCTGTCATGGTTCATTATGAAACAGAAGCATCGTTGCCAGTAAATTAGAGAAGGCAAGACTGCTGATTGTTGTACTGGAGGTTGTTGTGAACTGTATGGGACTTTAACATTAGACAGCGCTAACACTGGTTAGAATGTAAGATACAAATGAGCGCGACAGTGGCACTTGGGTGTAATCCCAGCAGGAGGCTGAGACAGAGGATCACTGTCACTACTCCAGTAGGCCAGCCTGGGCTACATAGTGAGTTCAAGGCCAGCCTGCAGAGTGAAGCTTTGTCTCAAAACAAAAGGAACAAAACACAAAAAAGAGGATGCAAACTGACCACTTTACGCGTTGTGTTCTATGATTGTATTCCTTGAATGTTCCTGGGAAGTCCCTGAAAAACTCATAGAAGGAAAAAGGAAATTTTGCATAGTTTCCAGTTACACTGTATTAAGTTTGTAGAAGTCAATTGAGGCTGTACGTGTAGAGAACAACAATATAAGCTTCAATTTGGCATGAAATATCAAAAGTTGAAAAAATATTTTAAAACTACAAGCTGTAGGGACTTAGTTGAAAATGTATTACATGTATTATGTTGTTTATTACATGTATCCATATGTTCAAATAAAATAAATATATATTTACCTACCTGTAATATCCTTAAAATAGTTATATTAATATAATTCTATTTTAAATGTTTTAAACAAAATGACTTAGATTTTATGAAAGAAACTCTAGAAAATAGAAATATTTCAACTAAAACACATGAAAACTTACCGTGTTACAGAAGGTATTATAAAATCAAAGTGATTAAAATATAACATAGATCGAGTACCAGATATTGCAACAAAATTGTGGAGACATATTTAAGAATAAAAGGAAAACTAGCATTTGATAAATATTGAATGAAAGGATGAGGAAAAATAACATTTAATTGATCATGCATGGACAACCAGTTATTTATTGAGAAAAACTATCAAGAAAACTGAAAATGTTCTCCATTGTTAATAAAACATGCACTAAATGGCTTTTTAATTTAAATCTAAACATGTGAAACCTAAAAAAAAAAAAAACTGACAAGTTAAATAGTTATACACATGCATTTGGGGAAGACATTTCTAACTATAACACAAAAACCTAGACTCACTTGGGGATGTAATTTTTAGTAACAGGTAAACAAAAAACAGACAAATGAGTATATTGTTGAACAGAAAAGATAATTTTACTTTTAGAAAAATCTAAAACTGGGCTGGGGATTTTACTCAGTGGCACAGTGCCTGCCTGGTAAGTGTGAGGTCCTGAGTTCAATTCCCCATACAAAAGAAAAAAGAAAAAAAAAAGAAAGAAAATTAAAAAGAATAACCTAAAACTCACTAATGAATTTTAAAATCTACAACCCAGTTGAAGATAATTAATTCAAAGCAGGAGATAAATGCAAATGATAATAAAAATAAAGAATATTAATCCTGTTATCCAAAATATTCAACCAAAAACATAACCTTTTGCCTATGTCATTAGTTTTCAAAATCTGATAATGGTCTGATAATGTGATGAGAAAAGTAGACTTTGACCAATTTGGAGTGGAAATGTGAATTAGCAAAACACAGTAAAGTTTTAGCTATTACGTTTTTCAAATATTCATTCATTTATTGAAATTTATCCTACAAAACATGGTCCCCAGAGTGTAAGGATCTACTAAAACACACACACACACACACACACACACACACACACATTTTTAAAATCATAACTTGAAATAGAGAATGATTTACTAAAAATATCTACAAGGTGTTTATATGTTCCTTGTGCAATAGGAAAAATAATAGTTACTGTCTGTGATTAATTTACACATTTCCTTTCAGCATATATTAGTTGTTTACTATAAAAGATACTACCTTTTACAAAGCTTCCCACACTGAGTCTTCATTTTGTTTCTCTTTAAATATCCTCTTTTTGATGTTTTCTTTGGAAGGATTTTCTTTTTTCTTCCCCACTAATACTGATGTCTGTGATGCTTTTTTAAGGCATTGAATTGAGAAGTTTTGACTGAACTTTTGTAACTTCGTTAAAAACAGGAAATATAAAAATGTTCATATTCCTTATAGATTTCACCACCATCATACTAAAATTTACCTTTGTAGTACCCATTCTTAGGATGAGAGTGTTGGATCTATTTTTAAGAAGAAAAAAACATCTAAAAGGAACCATGAAAAACTTAAGACCATTGCATGGGGAGAAAAGAGTAATAATAAATGATAAATTATGAATATATAAAATACAACAAGATTTTAGTAACCATTTAAACAAGCACACACATTCATATTCAAAAAATAACAAAAGAACAGTTGAAAGGCAGTTCACAGAAATGGAGATGAAAATGGCCTTCAGATGTGCTGAAAACTGCTTGATCTCTCCTTCATTATAAAGTATATAGTGTATGAACTTTTTTTCTTTTAGCAGTGACCAAAGTTTTGGCAAAGCACCACCTTGGGTAACTTTTTGTCTGTTGCATAAGTTGATTCAGCTTAAGCACAAAAATTTGATCCACCAATTGTGCTTGCAAGTATTTCATGCACAGATATAGATAAATGTAAATTATCTGTTGCAACACTATTGGTAATCATATAAACTTACAGTCCATTTAAAGTTTCATTATTAAGCCAGTTGCATGTATTGTAGTGTAGCTCACTTTAAAAAAATAAGGCTATGTGAACTGAATTGTCATCAACAACAACACATTTTAATAAATATAAAGGCATGCATAAAACTGTAAGAAGTTGCCATTTTTTAAAAATGTGTATAAATTAGTTTGTATGTGCTTAGAAAAATCTTGTAAATCTGTGTGCTACTTTAATGATTGTTTGCAGATGACATATATTGTTAAGATTTTTTTCATAAACATGATTTCAACTAGGCATGATAGTGCGTGCCTCTTATCCGAGCCATGGGAAGGCTGAGGCAGAACGATCGCCCCAAGTTGGAGGGCAGCCTGGGCTACATAGTAACTTCAAGGCCAGCCTAAACTACATGGTGAGATTCTGTCTGAAGAGAGAGAGACAGAGAGAGACAGAGACAGAGACAGAGACAGAGACAGAGAGAGACAGAGAGAGATATTTCATTGTAAGCAATATGACATCTTGTTTGAGTAGCCAGAAAATAATACAATAACAGTAAGGCATTATTTGGCAATTTTCCAGATAGCATAGTTGGCATGATAATGTTTCCTTAAATATGTTATATAAACATTACTAGAATATTGTTCTTCTGATAGTTTTCGTACATTGCATAGCAGAAATATTTCCTTCTAAACTAAAACAGTTTGAGCTAACAATCTGTTTAATAAAAGCTATCTATGGGCTGTGTGTCTTTCCGTTTGCTTTCTCTCAAGCTGATCTTCTAATTAAAACAAAATCACATAAACAATCTGCAAATTTCACAAGATCTATTAAAAGAAGGAAATATTCTACCATATGCCGTTTATTTGAAAGGATTCATGATGCAAATGAAATAAAAATGTTTATGTTGTATAAAAACAACAGTGTAGATACCGTGTGTCTTCATAGGGTTAGCCCACCCTATGCTGTATGATGTATTTTTCAGTTTTTTCTCCACTTCCACTAATTTTACTTGTTGACCCAGTTGGATTGAGGCCACAGATTCTGGCCAGCTTCTTTGTGTTGTACTTTCAGTGTTAGTTTCGTTTTCAGAGTCTGCCAGGATATTGAGAGCTATAGTGTGTGTTCTCATCCCAAGGATCAGTCAGAGGCTTGTGCAGTGTTCTTTTTTATTTCAGTCCTCCGAGTCTTTGAGTAGATGCCTCAGAGTCTAGAGTAGATGTTTAGGTTGAGGTATGAATGAATTTGGAAATTCATAAACAGCTTTATTCATAACAACCTTCCCAAGCATTTTCTGCTCTGAGCTCTATTTGCTATTTACCTATTTTCTGAGCATCTCTTTTAGGTTCGCCAACAAGAAAACTAAGGTTTTTGTTTACTTTTAATTGTTAGGTCCTTCTCACAAATTCACTTGCATTTAAGACCCAGTCACAAGAGGACAGAGAAAGAGAGAAAAGCAACAGCGAATGTAGCTCAGTGGTTTTGGGACCTTATTTCCATGTACACAGAAGATTCCTTTCCTTTAGTATTTTTCACCCCTGCGAGTTTTCTTGGATAAAATCATTCCTTCTCCAACCAGGTTGGATTACCAGAATCTGGGACAAGAGAGAATACAGCAAAGGAAAAACTTTTAGTGAGTTGGCCAATTTCTTGAACTTTAGAAATCCCCCGTTCAAGCTAGAACAAAAGGTCTTTTGGAACTATCTCTGTAACTGATTCCAACTATGTATTCTAATTCAGGCTGCACTGAAACAGTGTTGGATTAGGAATACCAGAGAAATATGCAAACTGAGTTTTATTTTGATTACACTTTTCTGCTATTTTTCCCCTATGGTTTGCTGCTACCATAATCAGAAGTGTGTGTGTGTGTGTGTGTGTGTGTGTGTGTGTGTGCGCGCGCGCGCGCGCGCGCGCGTGCGCATGTACATTGTAACAGTTTAGCAATGATTTTGGTAATCTAAGTAAAGTATTGCAGTCTGGTTTCCAGAGTTAACACAGATTTATGGGCATAATTCCCAACCAGACTGTCCTCACTTCAAATACCAGCCATAGGTTTCGGGGATTCCAGGTCACCCATAATTCTGCCAAATGGTTGTTAATTTAAGGTTCCCATCATCTTCTCAGATTTAATCATTTGCTAATGTGACTAACAGAACTCACACTAGTACTCTACTTTTGATGATGGGTTTATTATAAAGGATATAATGTCTACCTCAAGATGTCCTTAGGAAGAACAAAGGATATCATGTAGGAACAACTGCATACTAAATCCATGGACAAAGATGGAATACTTTGGTACACAGTATAAGACTTTGGGAAAACGAGCTTTTATTCTGTCTCTGCTACAAAGCAGAAGGAGGGCTGGAGATTTAGCTCAGCAGCATAAGCGCCTGCCTTGCAAGCAGGCAGTCGTGAGTTCAATCCCTGGTACCGATAAAAAGGAAAAAGACAAAAAAATTTTTTAAAAAAAGCAAAAGGAATCATCCGTATAGGACTTCCTACTTTCTTTTCTTTCCTCTCAGAAATGAAGGTTTCAGAGAAAAACTAGACCCAAGGTTTTAGAATGCATATATTGGCTTCCAAGCTTTGGGCCTAGAGATTCTCACCAGCCCAAAGGCTCCTCTGCCCAAAAATCAGGACAGATTTCAGTTAAGTCAAATGCAGTGAGCTGACTTTCTGATTGAAATTTCAAATACACGCATCACAGATTCTAGACCTTTTGGTTTTACTGAGCTTCCCAAGTGTATCACTGTTTACAAGAGTGAAATTAGAGAATAACAGGGTAACAGTACAATATTGGACAAGTGATGTTCATGCAAACTGTCTTCCTGTAGGGTGTCATTTCATACAAGCACTGCCTTGCAATGCAGGAAACCCCAGTTACATCCCAGCAACACCATCTGTGGCTCTTACACTCTCTGCTTTATTTTAATCTGCTTAGATTCCCTGTATGAATCATATGTCCTCCAAATACCAAGGCCTCTGCAAATAAGAGCTCTCTGAACTTTGTAATACTAACCTGTTAAGGAGACGTAACAGTTTTCTAAAGTGGTTTCCATCTGATACAAAGCCAAACATCAGTCTCTTCAACATAAGGCCTTTTTTTGCTGTTGCTGAATGATAGGGAATTTTGAAACAAGTCACTGAATATTAAGGGATAATTATTAAATCAACAACATATTCATAGCAACTGGAAATTATCCTGTTACATAAAATTTGGGTAAAATAATATTGTAGAAGTATATAAGGAAAGGGAGAGAATATAGGGTGGAGAGAGAAGAACAACATAGCACCTGCAATTTGTGAGGCGCGGTGTACATATATTGTCTTTTACTTCAATTCACTGATATTAGTTGCTGATAAACTTTATAGATTTCTAAAATGTTACTAGTTATTTTAAACTTATTATTCAGTCTCTTTAATCAGAATTCAATTCTTGATTTCTACTGGCATGGTTAACAGCTGTTATTTTCTTTATATGATGTGATCTTAAGTGTGTCTGATTGATTATAAGAATCACTTGGGATTTTGACAAAAGTCAAGATTTTGAGGTCTGTTTCCAGAGGTAGTACTTCAGATTTGGGCTCCTGATTTTGTATTTTTCTTTCATGTTTTGCAGTGTTTTGAAAATGAAACATTTTAAAAGTAGTAATATCTCAAGTACATGTCTCAGATTCAGCAGTTATTATTTGCTACTTTTTGTAATATACTACAGTTTTCCAAGATTAATAGCTAAAAAGATGATAGATGGGTGGATGTGTGAATGGATAGATGAATAAGTGAGTAGATAGATAATTGGCCAGCTTTGCAATGAGGTACTTAAAAATTATTCTAATTAGTGTCCTTTCTGGTTCCTTGATTTTCAGTCCTTAGACTTACAAAAAGGAGCAACAGACCTTTAATTAGAAGGTCTAAGTTAACCCAGAGCTTTCAAATGGTCTTTTTTAATTTGAAATGGTGTCACACAATTAAATATGCATATAGAAAAGTCTGTGTACCCTTTAAAAACTAGTACTGTTATCACAACTGTTTCCATTAATATGAGAACTAGAATACGAAATGGATTTAGATTCTTTTGAAAGCCAAAGCTCAACCCTGACCCCTATATCAGTTCTCCCTTATGTGGAGCCATTTTCCTGCTTTTTTTCATTAATTACTTAGCATTTTCTTAAAGTTGTCCTCCAGATATGTATCATTGGGTGTTTTTTTAAAGATTTCCAATTAAACATTCTTAAATGGAATCATGCTATACAAAAGGTCTGATTTTAAAACACAGTGAATGTTTAATTTTTTAAAAATGTGTTACATAAAAAATACGTTCCCATTAATAAGCCTCAAAATGCTACCATTTTCTTTGAATATACCTATCCCATCCTTCTTCCTGCTTTCTAAAGCTATTGTGGAAGTCCTTTTTTGTCTTTAGTTGTGCTGTCATGGCTCCCACTATGTCTCAAATCAGTTCAAGACATTTATCTTTCATGTTCACTCTGATTTTGAGGAAGAGCCTGAAATCACAGGGTACAATAATCCATTAGAGGGCGCTCTGACAGATTCACTGCATCTATTTGCTTATTTGTTTTTTGGTCACACCTTGTAAAGACACTCATAAAACTGCTTTAGAAGGTGGCAAGGATGGTGGGATGTGTGTTTAAAAAGTGATTGGGAGATATAAAAAGTGATTTGGAGAAAGATTTATGGCAACGTATCTTTTACGGTAATAATTATTTATAAATTAAAAACACACCATAAAAGATCTCCAGTCTAAGCCAGCATCGCTCCTCCCTGGATTACTGCTGCCATCCCTCTCAGCTCCTTGCTCTTGCCTTCTTGGGGTGCAGCCTCAGGCAGATCTGCTTACTGCTTGGTTAAAATCCTCCAGACTATCCAGTCCAAGGCCACTGAATTCCAAACACTTTGCATCACCTTCGCTTGTCATCAGACCTTTGTCTTCATCTCTTACCTCGGTTCTGATCATTCCCTGAGGCCCAGTTACCACAGTCTTTCTTTCTCTTCTTTGAAGATCATCACTCATTGCCATCTCTGTGCTGTCCCACTTACTTTTCTGTCCTCCAGGAACTCTCTTCTCACAACTTCAGTGTGAAGCTTTCTTTTCATAGCTCCGCGAGCTGGAAGGCCCTCTCCTAAGAAACTGCCCTTGAGTTTTCTGGAAATTACCATCCGTGTTTTTCTTAAAATCTTTATGTAGTTTCTCCTTAACTGTGCTAGCTAAATTTAAATTTTTAAACATTTGTTGACATGTTTTTTTGTTTCACCTACTAAAATATAAAATGCAGTACAGTAGTCAACAGAGTATCTGGTGATTTTGGTGTTTGTCTTTCTTGGACTTTCCTTTATTCTTCTCTGTAATCATACCCAGTACTGTACATAATGAGAGAACTGTATTTATAGAATTAATGAAGTGATGAATGAAAGAATATGCTTAAAAAATCATAGAACTTGCAATACATATTACTGTCATAATTATATATATGTGTATGTACTTTATTTACATAGACATATCTTAAAGTATTAAAATATTTTCTTTTTCAGGGTAATTGGAATTCTTCAAAATGTCAGGTATATTTTTGTGAAAACTTTTGAAAATGTTTCATTTTCAAATATGAATTGTGTGGAGTTTTTTTTCCTTAAAAAGATAATTTTTTTTCATTTTGAAGTTTTTTATTGTTTAGCATTTGTATGTGCATAAATATTTGTGAATATGTTCATTTATGCATGTGACTATTTCTGTTTATATTTGCCCAAAAGATTAAAAACATCTATTGGCACATGCCTTCTGATCCATCTTTAAAGTATGTGAGAGAAATCTGGCAGAGGAAAATTAAGGCTGGGGAGCAAGGTCTGCAGACAGTAGCAGTAAAGAGCTGCAGAGACAGACCCTGCATTTTATAGTATCTGCATAAAGTGAGAAACACCAGAGTTGTGGAGTTTATATTATCTCTGAGATAAAAGTCAGAGGTTTTCTTGCGAGGCTCAGGGAGGAATTTGTCTAATCAGATCCACAAGACAAGGTGTAATGTCACGATGTTCCTGCCTTAAAACAACTCCTTTGACTAGACTGTCCTCCCTGGCTGCTGCTAGGAAGCATATAGTAAGCGTGCAAGTTGTGCACGGAAGCATACAGACTGAACTATGTGTCTCAGACCTATATGACACCACCACCAGTTTTAAAACTACTGAGTATGGTATTATTTTGAATTTATTTATGCAGCACCTTTCAAAGAAAAAGGAAAAAACTAGAGTTCACTCTGTATTTACTTCTTTTCTCTAAATGATAGGAGAAAATATTTTCACTGTCTAGGGAGCCAATTTACCATGTAAATAGAAGTCAAAATCAGCTGATCCACTGGTGTAAAAGCTGACTGTTCCAATCACAAGCACATTGTAATTCTTCAGTTTTATTTATCTTTGTTTGGCATAAAATTTGAGATTTTATAATAAATTGATATGTAATATGTGATGAATTATGGGTTTTCATAGGAAATGAGTATATTTTTATATTGAGTATATTTCTTAATGATACATACAAGACAAATGAATGCACTGTACAATAATATTATTTTTTTGTAAATCATGTATATATTTTTTTCCTCTCAATTTGTAATACAGCCCCTGAGCAGCCTGCAAATGAAATGGAAAAACAAACCAAAACTCCAGATACAAGACCTGATGCCCCTCCTGACTACAATTTGCATGTTGTTGCAGGTAGGATGAATATATACAAAAGGGTACTTTCCTCACTCCAGAAACCTGTGGTAATAGTTCAAACTGATTTTTAAGTAAACCAGTTAATGAACTGATTCTATAAACAGATATCGAATGTAGATAGTGTGCCAAATACTCAGTTCACCAAAAAAGTATATTCATTAGAAAAAGAAAAACTTGTATAAATTTTTAATACTAAATTAACTGAGACATGATGAGATTAATACAGTCACCTTTGCCTACAGTTGCAAGAGGTGCTCAAAGGGTGGCCATTAGCTTCCAGATATTTATTACTATGGTGAGGGCCAGGGATTAAGCTCAGAGGCACAAACGCTTTCTCTGGTACCAAAAACAAAAGCAACAGTGCTGTGAACTGCTAAAGTGAATATACCTCTTTTTGGCAGACTTTGTAGTGTATAGTCTGACAACTAAAACATATTCCTGTTTCCATAAGATGTACCAGCCCCTGAGGAAAAGACTGTATTCACAATGATAATGTTCTAGGCATTCTGTTACAGATAAATAAAAAGAATGCTCTAGGAGCACTGAGCATGGACTCTGATTCTGAGGTCTGAGGAACATCCTAGCTGAGAAAATCAAGTTTGCTTTTATGAGCGATATTTCACAGTCAAACAAAAGACAGAAGGGACTATATTGAGAAAGATCACATGTTCAAAGGCATGTGTTCACAAAGATCTGGTATGAGACCAACGGGAAAAATGTTAGGAGCAGTGCAGGGAAATGGAAGAGAATGTCCCTAAGTGTTGACTAAGGAGCTGCTCTTCTGCGAATATTTTTATTAATCTCAGTACACTGCTGGTTGTGACACAGAATAGATACTTACATTCTGCTGGTTTAAATTTGAGTTATTATTTTTTTTTAGAAAACAGTTTGCACACGTATAAAACTTTGAAAATTAGAAATACACTTACTTTTGGCTAAGGAAAATGAAGTTTTTGACAGTAGTGAGGATTACATACTCGTCCTAGGAAATGGATTTAATCAGTATACTTTTCAAAATTTTAAAGACTAAAAACATAATGAATGTATTATAATACTATTTCTTTAAATACTTTCTTAAGTGTGTATGCAGAGGTGCCAACAGTGTGATTAGCCTCTGAAGGGACTTACTGAACCCTAGTAGCCACAGGATAATAGCAAAGATGTGTTCTCACTCTAGTTATATTATCCATAATGTTTAGGGAGCTGCTGTGCCTCTAGCGTTTTCTGAAAGCATCAGGGCTTCCTCTCCCCTTTTCCTAAGGCATATTCATGTCTGCATGTGAGATCTATTTAGCACTTCATTTAGCTTCCACATACAGGTATTGACAATTCCAAATTGTAATGAAGGTACCTGACCATTTCTCTGTATTTTACTTTGGTACCTTTCAACATGATTTTTATGTTATATATTATATCCACTGATCACTGTGTGTCCAAAAACCTAGATTTCTCACGATTTCTAGGAAGCAAACGCTGGCTATAAATCATGTTCTGCTCATCTGGAAAAGAATCTTATTTTATCTGTATAAGAAAATTAGCCCCAAAAGAGTAGGACACATTCTTCAAATTAAACATAAATTTAAAGAATGTAGTGCAAAGGATACAAGTGGTAAAATCTGTTACAAAACATAAAATAAATTCACTAAGATCGCCACCTGGAGGCTGGACAGTATACTTAGGACAAATTGTGTTTCTAGTAATTCAAATTCAGAAATTTAAATAATGTACTTGAAAAATTTGACTTCAAATGAATTTGAATTCAATTATATAATTTTCTTTTGATCATAGTGCTGGTTATGTATTCCCATGAAAATAAATTTGTACATTATTCTTGTGTAAAACAATGGTTAAGGAAGAAACCATTGTTTGAGGTAGTGTATTTAGAATGAAAATGACATTTTGAAAACTCAAAGCAACAGATAATAGTCACAATAACTAAGAAAAGTCAAATATCATAAGGCACTCTTTCTCACTCCAGTACAAGGTAGGTCAGTGGTTTGTAACAGAATACTTCAAGTGAGGGTTACTATACATATACAAAGTCAGATATGTTTTGTTTGGTTTGGTTTTGTTGTGTTTGATTTTGTTTTTCTGCAGAACCAACCATAAGTCTTAAGAGTAACATCAAAGTTCAAGAGGAAATATAGTTTGACAGTTTTCCACATACAATTTCATCATGTTTTTTCCTTCACTTTTCTTAACATGAGATGATACAGACTTATAACAGTAATCACTCATTACGTAAACTTGTGTGTTTCTTATTAATCATGTTTGTAGTATGCAGTGGTCATATTAACTGTGGGGAGTTGGTACACGGCATGTCTTAATTCTTTTATGTCCCCTTCATAGATTCCCCCTCTTTCACTCCTTGTTGTATTTCCCATTTGCCAAATTTCTGTCGTTCTGTTTGGGAGATAAAATACATTGTTGGTAAAATATATTTCTACCCACAGCTTCACCAATATTTGCTATCATTTGATATTTGATGATAGTCATACTTTCTGGAGTAAACTGGAATTTCAGTGTTGTTTTAAGTTGCATTGTTCTAATGGCCAGGATGTTGAGCGTCTTTTATGGTTTTATTTGGCCATTTGTATTTCTGAAAAGTGTCTGTTCATTCCAGTTACCCATTTGTTAACAGGATCTTTTGTTTTGGGGGATCTAATATTTTAATTTCTTCATATAGCTTAGATATTATTTTTCTACCTGAAGTATAACTGGGAATTTTTTCCATTCTATAGGTTATCTTTTCATTGTCATGTTTCTTTCATTGAGACTTTTAAAAATAATTCCATTTGTTGATTCTTCATGTTATATCTAATATAATAGGGTTCTGTTCAAAAAATGCTTGCATATGCCTGTTACGCACCTATTTTATCTTCCACCAGGTTAAGTGTTTTTTTTTTTTTTTTTCTGTTTAGATCTTTGATCCATTTTGATTTTAGTTAGGTGCATAGTGAGACATATAGGTCTAGCTCCAGTCTTGTGTATCTGTACAACCAGGTCTCCTAGCACCATTTCCTAAAGAGGCTACCTTTCCTCCAGCATGTTTTTGACCCTGTTTGTAAGATGGCAGAATGTGTCGGGGGTTGTTTCTGCACCCTCTATTTTCTTCCATTGATTCGCATTTGTTCCAGTGATCCACAGTTCTTCCATTGCTCTTTGGCCAGTGTCTTGCTGTTTTTATCACTGTAGCTTTGTAATATAACTTGAAATCTGGGATTGTGATGCCTCTTACTTTGTTTTCTTTTCCTAGGATTCCTTTTCTTGGTTCCATGTGAATTTTAAAATTATTTTCCCTAGTTCTCTGAGAAACGCTGTTGATACTTGATTCAGATTGCATTAAATCTGTAAATCAATTTTGGATGTATGAATATTTTTACAGTGTTGGTTCTGCCTATCCAAGAAAGAAAGTATCTTTCCATTTTCTGATATCCTGCTTCAGTCTTCCTTTCAGAATATTGTAGAGTATATGTAGTGGTCTTTCACTTCCTTGCTTAAGTTAATTCTTATGTATTTCATTTTTATTGATGTAATAATGAATGGCATTATTTTCATAATTTATTTTTTAGTGGATTCATTATTGGTGTATGGGCACACTTACTGATATTTGTGTGTTGGTTTTGTATTCTACTGGAAGTTTTTGATCTTCTATGTAAAAGATCATGTCACCTGTAAATACTGAGAATTTGACTTCTTTGTTTCCTCTACTTGTCTCTTTTGTTTCTTTCTCTTGTCAGATTACTCTGGCTAATATTTTGAGTAGCTTGAAAAGGAATGATGATAGTCTATGTACTTACTTGTCTTGTTCTTTTTTTTTTTTTTTTTTTTTTTTGTCTTTTTGAGACTCGCTATGCAGTTCAGGCTGGCCTTGAGCTCACTTTGTAGCCCAGGCTAGTCTCGAACTCTCAACAGTCCTTCAGCCTCAGCCTCCCGAGTGCTGGGATTACAGGCATGAGCCACCACATCTGGCTAATTTTTTTTGGTACCGGGGATTGAATTCAGGCACCTATGCCGCTGAGCTAAATCCCCGGCCCTTCTTGTCTTGTTCTTGATTTAGAGAGAAAGCTTTTGGCTTTTTCCTATTTAATATGATGTTGGGCATTAGTTGGTTATAAATGGCTTTTATCCGATTGAGTTACAGTCTTTCTATACCTATTTTCTTGATGATTTTTATCATAACTTCTGGATTTTGTCAAAAGCTTTATCAGCTTCTATCAAAATGGGTTATGTGATATATTACATCTATTGATTTGTATGTGTTGAACCATCCTAGGATGATGCCTACTTGGTCATGATGTATGATTTTTTTTAGTGATTTTTTTTTTTTTTTTTGCATTCTATTTACCAGTATCTCACTGAGAATTTTTGTGTTTATGTCCTCTTAAAGAGATTGGTCCATGGTTTTCTTTTTTTACTTGGGTCCTTGTCTAGTTTTGGAATTAGAGTAATGCTAGTTTCTAGGAAATAGTTTGGCAATGTCTATTGTGATTTTGCCTTTTTCATTTCTAATTTAATGGATGCGGGGTTTTCTTTTAATATGTTTAGATAAGAGTTTGTCTATTTTATGTATTCTTTCAAAGAACCAGCTATTCAATTTATTGATTCTTTGTATTTTTTAATCTCAATTTCATTAATTTATGATCTGGTTTTTATGATTTTCCTCCTTGTACTAGGTTTGGGTTTGCACTGTTTTTGTTATTCTGATATCTTGAGGTGCATCATTAGCTTATTTTGCTCTCTTTTTCTGATGTGAGCACTCTCATCAATAAACTTGTTCTCATTAAAGGTTTTTGTATATTGTATTAGCATTATTATTTGATTATAGGAATTGTTTAATTTCTGCTGTGGCTTAGTGAGTGTTTAGGAGTCTGTTATTTAATAGTGATGTTTTTGTAAATTTTTTCCAGTTTCTTTTGCAATTGATTTCTAATGTCAGCTCACTATGATCAGAAAGTACTCAGGAGCTTATTTCAGTTCTTTTCTATTTCTAAAGCAGGCTTTATCGACTAATATGTATATATGGTTGATTTTAGAGAAAGTTCATGTGCTGTTGAAAAGAAAGTGTTCTATTTAGTAGTAGGGTAGATACTCTAAAGATATATAATGAATCCATTTGGTTGAAGATGTGCTTCAGCTCTAATATTCAATATTTTTAGTTATTCTATTTGTGAAAATTGTGTGTTGAGAACACCCACTATGATTATGTTGGTGTTTATTTAATTGTTTATGTCCAATAGTGTTTGTTTTATGAAGCTGGGTGCACTAATATTCAGCACATTATATTTAAAATTGTTCTCTCCTTATTGAATCATCTCCTTCTCTAAAATTTACTGACATTGTTTGCCTCTTCTGATCACTTTTATCTGGAAGTTTTCTTTGAGAATAAAATTCCTACCCCTAATTTCTTTGAATAGTGTTTTCCATCCTTTAATTGTTTATGAATTTCTTTTTTGATACACAAATCATTTACTAGCAAATACAAGTTCTGATAAATATTTTGAAACACAACCAGCTTAGAGTAAACCAAGGACTTCTAGCCAAAATGAGGGGAAATTTAAATGCTATTAAGAAACTCATCAGCATTAGCCACGTAGCTGTGTCATCAGGAGGTATCAAAGACGTCTGCTTGTACTTGCTATTAATCTAGAAAGGATAAATAGCTATGGTTGTTATCATGGTCAGAGTTACTCCTAACATCTTCGTAAGGACAGTTAAATGAGACCAAAGTGCGCATTCAGTTACAGAGACCATATTGTAGCACAGCAAAATGATCTTTTTCTAAATCATAGTTAACTAAATCTTCTCTAGGGAGCTACAAAGTAGCACAAGCACTTTTATTTTGAGCAAATCACAACTGATCTCTAAAATCTCTTATTCCAAACTTCTGTCAGAAAACAGTCAAGAACTTTGACCTCCAGTTTGGCTCACAGAGAAGCCTTAGAATGGCTTGAAGTCCCAGATGGCTCACATAAAGCACATAAGCAAAGGAAGGAGGAGAGATAGTGACTCTGTAGGTTGAATTTAAACCTCTAGTTGTTTACTGCCTTAGATGGTACTGTCTTGTCCCAAAATGGGACGGGTGCTCCCTGACCAAACTGAGTGCTCCCTGGAGTCTTCAAGGAGAAGAGTTTACATTCCTGTGTGAAAGGGATGCAGCTTGGGCACGCCCCTCATCGTAGATTTTCCTATCACTCTTCCTGTTACACTCTCTCATAGGAGAGCTTGGTAATACAACTTGTCTTATTTGCCTTCAATCACTTCTGAGTCCAGATCCCTAACACCTATCGGCCTGCTGTGCTCTAAACTTGATTTCCAACTGCCCATAGACCTCTTCTCCTGAATAATTATGGATTCTCGGATTTAATAATCATCAATCCAACTTTATCATCTGGATCCTAAGCTTAATTTTTCTCTACTCTGGAGGTACATAGGAGCTCAAACCAGAAAGTTGAGAATCCTTCTTTATGTCTAGTCCCATACCAAATCAATATTGTTATTAAATTTAAATAATGATTTCTCTACTTTCTTCTCCTTTCACCATCAAATTCCATCATATTTCCTTGCCTTCCTTCTGGACCCTTGCATTCACCTCCTGACTAACCTTTTCAGACATATATAAAGGATTACAAATGCAGAATAATCACTCCACTTTCCATAAATCGGTGTGAAGTTCAAGCACTTTATGCAGAGGTCATAATCTGCACTCCCACCTGTCTTTTTTCAGCCTTGACACAGTCTCTTAGCCTTCACTTCCGCACTACAGAGCCTCCTTTCTGCACCTGCTTATTCTTCCCTGCCTTTATAAAACCTTTCTCCATTACAGAGGTGCTGGCTAGGTCTAACGTGTTAGCATTCATAAAATCTTAAGTTAAGAATTTTCTCCTCTCTAATCTCTTAACATACCTTGCATCCACTTATGGTTGCCCCAGTTATTCACTTCACAATAACCACTCACTTATACATTTGTGTGCCCTTCAAAGAATTGAAAAGAGATACGTATTTGCACTCCTTTCTGTCTATAACCTCAGGCATAGTATCTGGCTTTTGAAATGGGCTTGAGGAATATTTCCTGTGTAAGGAATGTTGGATTTATTTTACCATCTTGTTTTCAGATAGGATTAGAAGAATGTTCCACATTTGATGACTTTTATGAGTGGGATTTTTATGAGTAACCCAAATGTCTCAGGCTTAATTAACTTCAAAAGCTATTCTTCTGTTTAACATAAGTATCACAGAAAGCTGAGCTTCTGTCCAATTTACTTTGCAGAAAGTACTATGTTTGCCCTATTTCTCATCTGAATAAACTTCTAGGAGTCTCAGGATTCCTATCTTTTAGAGATCCTGCAAATTTGTTCTATTCTTTGTGTGTGTGTGTGTGTGTGTGTGTGTGTGGGTGTGGGTGTCGGTGTGGGTCTGGGTGTGTGGTACTGGGGAGTGAACCCAGGGCCTTTGCACTGAGCTACATTTCCATCTTTTTTCATCTTTTATTTTGAATGGATTTTCAATAAGTTGATAAGTTTCCTGGCCTAGGGTTGAATATGCAACCTTCCTGCCTCAAACTCCCAAAATGCTGAGATTACAATCGTGTACCCCTATGTCCAGCTGTCTTTCAGCACTCTTCATGAGAATGAACTATAACCCATAGGAAATAAGGTAAACATTGACATATGTGTGTATGTGTGTATACATATATGTGCATGTATAATACCAAGCAATACTATTAGTGTATAATAAATTTGAAATGCCATTTTAAACTTTCTATTTTATTCTAGCAGAGTTGATTTTATTTTTAAAAATTAGACTATGGGGGGCTGGGGATTTAGCTCAGTGGCTCAAGTGCCTGCCTGGCAAGTGCAAGGTCATGAGTTCGATCCCCAGCACCAAAAAGAAAAAAAAAATTAGACTATGGGTCATAAAATTGATTTATGGCCAACAAACATGTCTCCTGTTTATGAAGCATTGCATAAGAACCATGTTTTTTTTCAAACATCAGAATTGATAAGAACTAATGAAATACTGAATATCAGAAAAATCTGCTTTGAGACACAAATTGTTGCTCCATAACAAATGTCAGTTTATCAACAAAACATATATATTTACATAAGAATATAGTTCTAAATATATAAGGTAAAAATATATGTAAAGCTATATATGTAATATGTGTGTGTGTGTATGAGACAGAGAGAGAGACAGAGAGAGAACAGAGGGAGCCAAAAATTAGGAATAGGAAGGAACTCTTCAAACTTGGTAGGAGTTATCTATGAAAAAAATCTAATGGCATATTTGATAGATTAAGCACAAAACATGATATCACCTATTTGTGTTTTGGTTTGTTTTCCTATTGTTGTTTAGTGACAGGATCTTACTACATAGTTTAGGCTAACCTCAAAGCCGCTAGGTAGTCCAGACTGGCCTTGAACTGGCAGTGATCCTCCTGACTCAGCTTCCCAAGTGCTGGGATTATAGGGACACACCACCATGCTGGGTAAGATACCTTTTCTTGAACTTCTGTTGAGCATTGCACTGGAGGTTTCAACCAGGGCAATTAGGAAAGAAAAATAAATAAAAGGCATTCGGATTAAAGGAAGAAACACAACAGTCTGTATCTGTAAGTAACATGATCCTATATATGTGTCCTAGGGAAAACATATGTACACATAAGCAGCAGTAAGAAAAGAGTCTATCATTGTGGCAGGATACAAAATCAATATATAAAAATCCAATGATTTTTTTGACATATTAACCAGGACAAATCTGAAAAACAAACTCAGATTATAATTTCATATGCAATGACATCAAACATAACAAAAGTAAATGGATGTAATGACACATCTACTCAGGAGGCAGAAGCACAAATATCTCTTCAGCCCAAGAGTCTGGGGTCAGCCTGGGCAACATAGCAAGATCCCATCTCAAGAATAAGTGAATAAAATAATCAGGAATATATTTAATAAAAGATGTGCCAGACTTGTACATTGAGAACTATGAAACATTGTTGAAAGGCATTAAAGAATATTTACATAAGGGCCTGGGATTTAGATCAGCAGCATAGAAGCCTGCTTGGCAATCACAAGGTCATGAGTTCAATCCCTGATACTTAAAAAAAAAAAAAAAACCCTAATACTTATATAAATTCAAAGGCATCCTTGATCCTTGTTCATAGATTTGAAATGTAAGCTGTTCCACAATGTTGATTTACAATTCAAAATGATTCGTAGCATTTTATTAAAAGATCAACTAATCCTTAAACACATGTGGCAATGTAAAGGACTCAATAGTTCAAACAGTTGTTTTTTAAAAAAATAGAGAATTTAAACTTTCAATTTCCAAACTTACTGCAGCTCTGCAGTGGCCTATGCCATGCAATTAAGACATAAAGACAGATAAATAAATCTCTGAGAGAGTATTGAGAGTCTAAAAGTAAATGCAAACATCTATGGCCAATTGATTTTTCATAAATATCCCAAAATAATTCAGGGAGAAAGATTTAAACATATGCCTAAACAACAGAATATCCATATGCAAAACAAATGAAACTCTAACATTGTATACAAAAATGAACTCAAGATGTATCAAATATTTACATATAAGAACAAAAACAAGACTTTTAGAAGACAATGTATGTGTAAATATTCATAATTTTGGATTATGCAATAGATTATTAGTTATGACAGCTAAAGCACAAGCAACCAAGGGGGAAGAACATAAATTGGGCTTTATAAAAATCAATTACTTTTGTGTATCTAAGGACATTATCAAGACAGATAAATAAAAGACAACCTACAAAATGACAGAAAATACAGCCTACAAAATAACAGAAAATACTTGAAAACCATTTAGCTAGAAAGAGACTTTTATCTTGAACAAAGAACATTTTCAGTGCAATAAATAACAAATTTTCCCGTTTAAAGTAGGCAAATAATTTGAATAACATTTCTCAAAAGAAAGATAAATGGGCAGTAAGTACATGAAAAAAATGCCCAGCATGATTAGTTGTCAGTATAATGAACATCAAAATCATAAAAAGGTACCACCTCACACCCACCAAGATGACCAAAATAAAAATGAAGATGTGGAGAGAGCTCTCACACACAGCGGGTGGGAATATAACATGATGGAGGCACTCTGGAAAACAAGTTGTCAGCTTCTCAAAACGTTAACCATGGAGTTACCAAATAGTCAACCTGTTTCAGTCCTAAGGAGAGAATTGAAAACATACATCCACATCAAAACTTACACAGGGGTTATCACAGCAGTCTTATTTGTAATAGCCCAGGAAAATGGATTGGATTAAAGGATAGAAATAATGAGACATATTAACACAATAGAGTATTACTGAAACATAAAAATAGGGAAATATTGCTGTGCTCTACAACATGTATGATACCTGAAAACATGCCTTCACGCTTGTGAGAAACATCAGATGCAAAGGTTGCACACTGTTGACTTCATGTGTGTGAAATGTCCAGATTCGGCAAGATCATAGAGGCAGTGATTTCCTAGTATGGGAGAGGAACAAGCAGGAATGGGTGCCAGTGGGTATTCTTTCAGCATTAATAAAACTTCTATATTTAGACAGAGGTGATGGTTGTTCAACGCTGAGTGTATATTAATACCACTGAATTGCACATCTTAAAGAAGAATAAATAAAATGAGATGTTTGCCTTCTTAAATATTGATTAGAGATTCTTAATTAATTAGTAGTAATGGGACCCAAAAATACCACATTATTTTGTAACAGATACTATTAGCCACAGTCTACAAAACAATATGGTGAAATTATTTATTTTATTAATTTAAAATGCACTTTTGAAACCAAAAACAATCTAGTTGCATTTTTTAAAAAATTCCCATCATATATAGCTATGAAGGCTTCAGTAGATTTTGTAGGTCAGGTCTCACATAGAAATCCCTGCTGCTAAGAGGATGTTTTTATTTAATTTTTTTTATTTTGAAAAGAATAAAACCATATATAACTTAAAACCAAAATACAAGGTGATCAACAATGGTTTCCATGATGCCTCTTGTTATCTTCAAAAGAATTGAATGCCCATATCATCAGGCATAATAAAACTGAACAAAACAGTTCAGAACAAAATCAATAAAAACAAAACATTGGAGACATTATAGGACTTCAAAAGATAATAGTCAAACCAGAATGAGTATCATAGTGAATCTTATTGTCTTCAAAGTAGTTGCCTATACCCTCAGACTTGATACTGTCAAACAAAACAGATTTGAATAAAATCAGTCAAAACAAGACAATGATCAGACAAAACAGATTCAAATAAAATCAGTCAAAACAAGACAGTGAAAGCAATTCAGAGCTTCTAATTAAGTTAATAGGAAGTAAAAAATGGTTACCATAATATATCCTGTTCTCTTTGGAGTAGCTGTCCATGCCATCAAATCTAGTACAAATAGGCAAACTGGAACAGAGTATAGCCAGACTAAACAGAGCAATGAAAACAATGTGGGTTTCGAATCATGATACAAGATTAACAATGGCCACTGCCTTCCCTTTTCAGACAGTTCCTCCCCTTTTACTTTCACAAGGTACACTGTACATTTTGTACCTCACTAACTCCTTTAGTTTTTAGAGAGGCAACCTGCTATTCACCTAAATAATTCTGAACCTTTTTACCCCTGAGCATGATCTCAAGTTATATCCATTTACCTACAAGAGACTCAAGGTTTTCCTTCCTTATAGTTGAGTAGTTCTCCTTTGAAAAAAGTGTCACGTCCTTTACAACCGATCTGCATCTGATGGGCAAGCTACCCCCACTTTTTTCTGGTTCTCTGTCACATAAAACATTGTTTTCTCATCTTTGACTTTCAGTCTATAAACCCCAACCTCCTTTTGGGTTAAATGTATTTATTATGTAAAGTATATTGATGGACCCTATCTCCTCACCCACTCTGCCTGTGTTTCTTTTTATTAGTGTAATGAGGCCATCCTTGTTAGCAATTATGGCCAACCTTCTCTGCCTCATCTCTGCCATGCTATTTTTCTGTTGTTGTTTGTCTACTTTTCCCCTTCATTCCAATGTCTGCCCTGTTCAGTGAGCCCCCTCTGCCACCATTCCTGAAACCATGGTCTTTTTTTCTCTCTCTCTAGAATGTCCTTCAGTATTTTTTTGTAGGGTAGGATTGGTGTTTATGAAATCCTCCAGTTCCTCCTTGTTATGGAAGTATCTTGTTTCTCCATTAATTTTGAGAGGTAGTTTTGCAATGTATATCAACCTGGATTGGAGGTTATTTTCTTTCAGGACTTGGAATACTTTATTCCAAGCTCTTCTTGATTTGATGATTTGTATTGATTTGTCTGTCATTGTCTGTCATGATTCTGATGGGTTTTCCATTATAGGTGATCTATTTCTTTTCTTTGACAGCTTTTAATATTCTGTTTGTGTTGAATTTCTGAGATCTTGATTATTTTGTGGGTTTTTTTTTGGTCTTTTTTGCTTTTTATCGTTACCAGGGATTGAACTCAGGACTGTCTGCTTGCAAGGCAGGTGCTTTATGCCACTGAGCTAAATCTCCAGCCCCGAGATCTTGATTATTATATGTCTGGGTGTAGTTCTATTTTGGTTATAGCTGGCTGGAGTTCTGTATGCCTCATATATTTAAATATCATTTCCTTTTCCTATGCTTGTGAAGTTTTCTTTAATTATTTCTGTAAATAGCCTTTGTATTTCATTTGTTTGCTGCTGCTTTTCTCTCATTTTTTATTCTTAAGTTATAGATCTTGTCATCATTTAGCATTTGTATTGTTACTTTCTGGTTCCTTGTTATTGTTAAGAGATCTTTCCTTTCGTGATTATAAGTTGAAAACCTGTCTTCAAGGTTTGATAGTCTATCTTTAGTTTCTTTCAAACAGTTTTGTCAATTTTCAATAGAGTTTTTAATTTCCTGGTAATCTCTTTGAATCTGTTTCATGTATTGTAAATTTTAAAAATATTCTTCATTAAAGGTTTCCCTCCTTTTTCTATGCTTCTCTACTCTTCCATCTGTGTGTTCTTGAGAGGTGTTTAGCATTTCTTTTATTATTTTTCTTATATATTCCTTTACTTGTAATAGTATTTCTGTTTTAAGTTCTTTTATAGTTTCACAAAGTTGTTTCTTTATGTCAGCTGCTATTGCTTCAGAAACTGCAGGGTGCAATTCCCAATCTCTTCCATGTTTATATCTCCTGGACCAGTACTGCTTGGGTTGGAGGCCAGAGACTGTCTTTTGCTTCTTGTCATGTTCCTGGTTTTTTCAAACAAATGTGTAGCAGGGTCCCTGGCACTTTCTGTATTGGTTATAAATACTCTGAAGCATGTTGGTTAGGTATTTCTGCACTTTGCTGCTTTTCTCAATCTGCTGGTGACTACTGAAATATAAGCAAGGGCTGGGCAGGCTGCACCTCCCTTCTGAGCTGGTTAACCACAGAGAGTCTTCAACATGTTAGTTTGTGTGCTATGTGGGCGGGGTTGGTTAGGGATAGCTTTAGGGAAACGTGGCCCTTGGCTATTGGACTGTGCACAGGGACAGGACTCAGTCCAAGCAGTTTCACCAGTCTGCTCTGTGCTAGGAGTGGCTGAATGAAGCCAGTTGCAGTTCTGGTTTTGGGCTTATCCTGCCCAACTCCAAAATGGTGCCCAGCCAATCACCCACTCTTGCAGAAGGATTGAGTCCCCCACACTCACTGCCAGCCAGTGCAGTTCTCTGGTCCCCTCCCCTCTGTCTCCCCGCTGAGGCTTTCGGGTTGCCAGCAACCTGCTTCACTGCGACTGTGCATCTCCAGATTCCAGTGGCACTTCTCACACAGTGGGACCAATTCCAGTGAAAGTGCATCTTTTCTTTTCTTTTCTTTTCTTTTCTTTTCTTTTCTTTTCTTTTCTTTTCTTGTCTCTCTGGGCTTCGATTCTCACTTTAGTTTCTTCCTGGGTTGAGGGGACCCATTTCGTTCCTTCTGGTCTTCTCCAGAATGCAATATTCCAGCATCTGGACTGTTTCTCTCAGAGAGGCTATTTACTCTGCTACTTGCGGTTCAGCCAGCTTCCACTTTGTCCAATTTTATTTAATATTAATAGAATTGATTTTATTTAATCTCAACTAAAATAAATACTGAAATCTTAACAATAAATTATTCAAGGAATTGCTGGCATTCATGTAAGTCTATAAAATACTAGGTATAGCACTTAGGACTCAATTATTTGCAAAAACTTCATTGTAAATATCTGAACAGCAAAATGAAAATAATAAATTATTATTAATAATTAAAAACCATGATAACTAGCAATGTATCTTAGCAACATGGATATTTGTATACCCATATGCCAGCAATTCCTTGAAGTTAGAGGTAATCGTTGTGAACTACAACATTATTGCTATTTATCTTAAGGAACCTTTGCTAAAAGAAAAGGAAGGAAGGGGAAGGGAAAGGAAGGAAAGGGAAGGGAAGAGAAGGGAAGGGAAGGGAAGGGAAGGGAAGGGAAAGGAAGGGAAGGGAAGAAAGAAAAAAGTCAAAGAGAAAGAGAGAGACAGAAAAGAAAAGGAAACTGAATCTGGCAAGTGTCCAGATTGACAAACAACCTGAGATCTAGACATAAGAGAATAAAAATCAGAGAATAAATAAAAGATAGCCCAAACTAGTCATTAGAAGTACTCCTTGGAAGTAAAGTATACATCAGTATATTTGTTACCTTAAGCAATAACAACAATAAACGTAGTGAAAATTTACAATAGTAGTTATGTGCTAGGCTTTGCATTAATCTTACTATAACCTAATAAGTGCATTAACTCATAAAGAGGAATTTAATGCATTGAAAAGCTAATATATTACTTAATATTTTTCAAACCTTATTTCTTGATCTCTGTATAATTATGATTTAAGAGGATTAAGTAATTTGATATATAAACAGATCCTCTTAGATCATTGCTGTAAATGATACATACTCAAAATATGGCACAAGGAGAGTTGGGTGTGGTAATGCATGCCAGTAATTCTGGTACTGAGAACGCTGAGGCAGGAGGATCATCATGAAATCGAGACCAGCCTGAGCTACATAGTAAGACCCTGCCTCAAGAAAATAGCAATTTGTAGTTTTTAAGAACATGTTGCATGATCCATTCTACCTTCATGTAAGACTTGAATTTCTTTTGGAACACAGGATCCCCTGGACCAGCTGTTCCTCCATCTGTAGGTTACCCAGGAGGTTTGCCTATGGGATACTACAGTACACAGCAGCCCACTACCTTTCCTTTATACCAGCCAACTGGTAGTACCCATCCTATCCACTGTCAGCCTGGCAAATACGCTACGCCAAGTCAGCTTGCACCAGTGACATGGATGCCAGTGCCAACTCCTATGCTGAACTGCCCTCCTGGTTTGGAATACTTATCTCAGGTACTCCACACAAATCAAATTGTTTTCTTATGAAGTAGGACTACAGGGCTCTAACAAGAAGAGGCAAAAGTCTTGAGTGGAATGAATCGGGATGAGTCACTGATGACAGAGATCTAATTTATGAAGGAGCAGTGAGTATGGGGGTGTTTTTAGTGGAATGAATATAGCCTTCCTAAAAGAGTAAGATTAACCTTTAAGATACTGCTCATTACAGCAAACAGATATTCTTCAATAAATCAGCCAGTTCTTTAATTTTTCTAAAGACAAACTGGAAGAAAGTATTTTTGCTGTCTGGACTACTTGCTAATATCCATCTGATGCAGATAAGCTAATTTCTATTGATAATTTTTTATTCCATTCAATTTTTAATTTTTTATATCAGTTGACACATTTGTTAATTTTTCTTCTAATGTTCATTAGATTTCATTTCTTTTCAATCTTCTAACTACTTTTGTTCTGTCCCTGCAGTTGGATAACATACATGTTCTTCAGCATTTTGAGCCTCTGGAACGTATGTACACCTTTGTTGTGTTCAGCAGTATTCTCATCAGGTGGAAATTTATGTTACCTACTATCTTCTTGCTTCTTTGTACTGAGGAGGTTTTAGTGGATCAAAGAGGTATACGCATAAGCTCTTAGGCTTAGGAAGCCTTTCACTTTATCTGATCAACTCATCCTACCCTTTACCCGTTCTTCCTCCTCCATATTTACCCCTCATAGACAAGGAGAAGGAACCAAGAGATAAAGTGAATTAGCAAGGCACATTATGATCAGTTGATCAGTAGCAGAAATGGAAATAAATCTATATCTGCTGAATTCTGGTCTGCTGCGCTTATTTTGTACAGAAGGAGAAAGGATGACAGTCAAAATGATGCCGCTCTGAGTTCACTCTTACAGAACACTGACCTTATCAGTACTCCCTCTACACATTTGTTTGGTTCCACATTGGACTTGGATGTTTCCCGGCTTTTCTTTTTTGCAGTTAGCCATGACCCAAGTCTTTTCAGTGTATCTCATGAGGTATTAATATATGCTTCAGTGTGTAATTTCATTTAAATGGTTTTATAATTAAAGATTTCTTAATTCAGATTTTGAACATTTCACCAGGAATATTTTAAACTTTTTAATGTGAGAAAACTTTGAAAATCATTTTATAGTGATCTTAGAAAATGTCCTTGGTTTCCAAAATTGCGTAATACTTGTAAGTCATATGAATTTTTCTGGGCATTCTAATCATTGGCATATATTTCACCTTAAATTTTTAAAAACCTATTTTACTTTAAGCCTTAAGAAATACTCAGATACTTTTCTTAAACAATGAGTTCTTGAGGCTCATTTTAACCGGTTCTAATGTAAGGAGTTTCTGTCATTTATCTTTTAGTGGTGACACGCTTTGAAACTAGTAACAGATATGATATTAAAAATAATATGGACCAGATGGTTTACATCGTAATAGAAGATATAAACGACTTCCCCATAAATGCTTACCGTACGCTAAGGCCCTTCGTGCTCCGGGTCACTGACTGCACTGGCCGCGAGATCATGACGATGCAAAGGCCTTTCCGATGCACCTGCTGTTGCTTCTGCTGCCCCTCGGCCAGGCAAGAGGTCAGAAAACTGAAGTCTGGTCCTGTTTTCTCCTGATCCAACCCTTTATACAGGATCATGCTCCTTCCAGAACTACTTACTCAAGGAGGGATTTCACTGGCTCTGCTGATCAAATGGAGTGGGATAGCAAAGAGGGAGAAAGCCAAATAATCTCACCAAAGAGAATTCCAGAAGCACTTTTTTTTCTTGTGGGTTTATGCTCCTTAAGTGCTATTTGATAGCTCAAGCACAAATTAAGGTTTTTTTGGACAATAATTACAATTTTGTATGTGTGTTTACATAATGCCTGGAAAATGGTATAATTCTCAATGAACATAATCTGTTGCTCTCAATTTATGTTTTGTAAATGGTATTTTTGTAATAAGAGCCTCCTATTTAATGGACTGTCTGTTTTTCATTCTTGTTCCTTTTGGATACAGTAGAATTTTTTTTCTGTATTCAAATTGGCTTTTGAATAAAACCTGTACATGAAGTCTGCCAAGATTACAGGCAGCCAGGATAGATAAAAGCAAATAAAAATGAGAAACTTCATCCGGCTTACAAAATTTTTGCCACATGATATGGCACAGATATTTTCTAGTATTTTTGCATTTATTTGTGTATGTGTATTTAGTTCACACAGTGCCCATCACCAGAATATACTTAACAAGTTTCATCACAAGTATCCTATTTTATAACCACGGTCCTCTCTTCCCTCCTCTTCATCTCTTCTTACAACTGATAATCAATATTATATCGCTTTAAATTAATCATTTCAAGAATACTATGAATATCAAGTATTACACAATGTATTACTGTACCTCAGCATCACTTGGTATCTCCATTGAGATGTGCAGTTTTTATGTATCAATTGCAATATTTAATTTAAATTTATAAAAAGAATATTATGAAAATGATCACATAGTATATAACCTTTGAGGATTAGTGTTTTTAGCCCACTCTAATGACACTGAGAGTCATATAAATTGCTATGTAGATCAAAACTTTATTCATTTTTATGAATGAGTAGCTATGATTACTAGTAATTTATTTTTATGTATTCTGATTTTTTTAAGCTCATAGGTTTAAATGTGTATGAGATGTTGGCTCTAGGAAACTATCAAATTTTTATGTTTGGGTATTGGTGTGAATTTACATATATGAACATCTTGAGTTCACAATACACAAAGCTGTGGCAAATGACAAAGACCATACATATAACTTTTATTACCTAATTTATAAACTACTCTGTATTTTATAAGTATATATATATGGAAAATATAGTATATATAAAATTCAATACTATCTATACTTCCAGAAATCCACTGGGGGTCTTATCTCCAGTGAATGAAGAACACTATATACAGTTTTTAACAAGTTTCTTTTTCTTTCTTTTATTTTTCATTGTTGTTTTTACACTGTCATTTCTGAAATCTGGTTTTACCTGATTTACTATGTAAGAAGTTAGCTTTTTACTGTTCATGGATTGTGTCAGAAAACATGTGACTCCAAGATTGGAGGCAAAAGCATTGGTAAAGTACATCAAGAAAAATGAGCATTTGTTTGTATAGGCTTGTATGGTTCCTTTTGTTCCTAAATCCTAAGGGGTTCAGTCAGAGAAGCCGTGTATGCAGCTGAAACTGCTGATCTCGGACAATTTGCCATCTTATAGCAAGTGGTTATTTTTAAATTAATTTATTAGTACATGTTAACATACATAATCATATTCACATAGGGAATTTGTACCTGTAAATCGCGTATCTTAATTCTTTTCTTTCCGATTACCCTCCCCTTTCCTTAATCCTTTCTTCTCCATTTACAAAATTTTGTTTCCACTCTTTCCCTTCTGTTCATATCTGTCTATCCATATTTATATATACACATATACCTGTTCCTTTTCTTTTCTTCTTCCCTATCTTGTTTCTTTTCCATTTGAACATTTTCTGTCTATTTCCTCCATTTTGGTCTTTATTCACTGTTTGAGTTTCTCATACAATAGAAACAATGCAATATTAAAACACGTGTGTCCAATTTATTTCATTTAAAATTATCCTCCAACGTACATTTATTTATCTACAAATGTCTCAAGTTTATCCTTCCTATGGTAGAGTAGTAATCCACTGTATATAAAAACCACGTTTTCTTTATGCATCCATCCACTGATGGGCATATGGTTTTCAAGATTTAGCTATTATGAATCCTTCTACTATAAACAGAGATTTGCATGTATCACCATGGTATGATGTTTTTAACTCAGGAAGATACTTAGAAGAAGAATAGCTGAATCAATGGAACCTCTACTTTTAGTTTTTCTGTTTTTTTGTTGTTTTGTTTTGTTTTTGTCATACTAATTTCCAGAGTGGTTGTACCAATTTACACTCCCATTGACAGTGGAGAAGTGTTTCTTCTCCTGCTCCTTAGCCTCACCAGCATTTGTTAGTGGTTAATTTCTTGATGGTAGACACTTTTCTAGGGTGAGATGAAATTTCATCGTTGTGTTAACTTGCATTTCTTGAATGACCAGTGATGTTGAACATTTTTTCACATATTTATTTGCTGTTTGTTCTTCTTCATCTGAAAAGTGTCTATTCATTTCAGCAAGTTACAGAATGGGAAAAAAATTTTTATCATCTATTCCTCGGGTGAAAGATTAATATCTTGAATATTTATAAAGAACTCAAAAAAATCAGATTCCTAAATTTAAAGACCCAATCCAAAAATGGGCATCTCAAGCAAGCAGTTGTTAAGCCATTCTTTGTCCCAGAAGAAAACATGAGCCCCAGCCCTCGAAGCTGCTTGCTAAACACAAACCTGAGGATGCTCCAGGTAAAACAGGAGACTTTTCTCCCAAGATTGGTTTGGTTAGTCCTTGAATTAGTAAATATACATCAGGATTATATACCCGTGTTATTGTGTGTATGTCTGTGCATGACTTCCTCTGTCATCACTGCATTTACAGCTGGAAGTACAGTGTCCTCCTGGAACCACCATAGGCTTTGTGGCAGAACACTGGAACCTGTGCAGAGCAGTCTATAGCATCCAAAATGAGAAGAAAGAGAATATGATGAGAGTGCGGGGACCATGCTCGACCTATGGCTGCGGGTCAGACTCTGTTTTTGAGGTAAACATTGTGCAAATGGGTGTACTGTTTTTTTCCTGAGAGACTTCAAAAGAATGTGGGTTTAGATCATTTTATGTGAATTAGTAAGTAGCATGAAGAGTTCATCAGTAGATACCAATTCATTTTTAAGTCACTATTAGTGGATTTTTCCACATTTTTCAAAATGTGGACTACTTTTGCTTTATTTCAGTGCTTGTTATAGTTAAAAAGGAACAGTCAAAATATTAAACTTTTTTGAAGTAACGTAACTTGATCAATGTATTACGTTTTTGTTTGTGCTTACTTGAACATTTATCCAAAGTTTCCAGGATGGGAATAACGATCCTGTGTAAGTGCCCAGCATATCACAGAACACGTGGAGAAAAAATTGTTTACTTGCATGACACAAGTCTGTCTGCCTCTCAAAAAATAGGACAACTCTGATAATATGAATAAAATTCATAGTAGGTTATACTGTAATATTTTCTCTAAAGTCCTTTTGTCTTATCAGAAGGGCTACAAAATGATTGCTTGTTACTGTAAAAATCTTGACAAACAAAATTCCTAGAAATATTTTCTGCTTTTGCCCAAGATCACTTTCTTGCAATTGCTTTTTCATGTATATTTCCTGTGAAACCCAAAAGAAGTGCCAGGATCCTGCTTTTAGCAGAAAACTTTTTTATTCTGATGTGTGATAACAGGATCTGACCCACAAAAGATGGATGTGTAACATACGGTACCATGCCTCCATACTTCTGCTGCTAAGTTTCCCTAGTGTGGTGGGTTAACTAATGATCAATGTGTAACACCCATCTGAACTGAATCAGCATGGTTCTGGTTGTGAAAGACCCACCTGAGGATTGTTGCCAACAGCATGAAAGGAGAACTGGAGGGGAAGATGGTATGCTGCTGATTCTCCTAGAGAAGCTTCTCGTGCTGGTTTTCCTGATAGGAATTCAGCTGTTATCATCAGAGGAACTTGGATCATCACTGCCTCTGAGGATGGCTGCTGTTTCTTCAGGGGAGCTCTGAACCTTACCTTAACCAGTGCTTCCTGGCTCCAGTGCAAATCTCTCAACCTGCTGGCATAGATTCTTCATCTTGCTGTCACAGACTTTCTATCTTCTACCACTGACCTTTTGGTCTTTCCAGTGCAGATACTGGATAGAAACCTGCATGAGATATTGTCACGGGCTCTAGGCCTCCAGCTGCACTCATAGAGGACATTGCCATGGGCTCATGGTCTTCTGCTGGACTCATGTAGGACATTACTGTGGGATCCAGACCCTCAGCTGGATTATTTGGGTCTCTAGTGTGTGATGAACAGAGCTCCCACACTCTTTTGCATTTGACTCTTTGTGTGAATGTTATATAGCAATCCTATAAATTATGTGTCCTGTATTAAATCTTTTCCCTTGTACACCCTGACTACAACACCTAGATTGGAAGTGACTTTCTTCCATTATCCAATTCTCAACCTTTGCTATATGAAGACTTAATAATCACTTCAAATGTTATCTTTTCTGACAAGGTCCCCTTAATAAGTCATTTGAAGATAAAAGAAGTGCACCAGCCTGACAAGTGCTAAGATATAACACAACTCAGTTACTAACCAGTTTCAAGATATTCAGTCCTTTGTGCTCATGATTTGCTCATTTAAAATTAGGCAATTATCAAATTCGTTCTCTACAATGTACTTACACTGCATCTAAGTGAAACTTAAAAACATGTGTTTTAGTACTTTCCCATTACCATACAATCATGTTTTTGTCATTGTAGGTCAAATCCCTGGACGGAGCATCCAACATCGGCAGTATTATTAGGAAGTGGAATGGTTTGCTTTCAACAATGGGCGATGCTGACCACTTTGACATTCACTTCCCATTGGACCTGGATGTGAAGATGAAAGCCATGATTTTTGGAGCTTGTTTCCTTATTGTAAGTCTTTATTTTTGTATAATCCTATGAGAATCACTCTTTCTGATGAGACATGGTATAGTATAATAAGATGGGGTGAAGTTTTGAAACTAGCCAATTTTTATCTGTGCCACACTTTCTAGACACATACTTTTCAAAATATTTTAATACACATGAGCCTCAATTTGCTCCTGCATAAAATGGAGATATAATTTTCAGGATTATATACTTTAGCTGTCGTATGATTAAAATACTGGAGAGCTGGGGATATAGCTCAATGGCATAAGTGCCTGCCTGACAAGCAGAAGGTCCTGGGTTCAATTCCCAATACAAAATAAACTTAAAAACAAAATAACCAGGAAAGAGTTAGATTCTGTTAGGCATCTGATTAATATAACTGTCATCAGCTCATATTATTTGTCATTCTTCTTACTTAAAAATACCCATCCTTTGATCTTTAGTGAAATAAAATAATTGTAAAAACGCCATCATTTTCCTCCTTCCTTACTGGTTTTTGTCACTGTACTCCTTAATCACGTGCCATCCTTAGATTTACCAATTGTTTCTTCCTTTTAATGATGCCATTTTATTAATTGTTACTCAAGATTCAAAACTTTTTGTCTGTTCTACATTTCAAAATTTGTGTAATTACATGTACCACTGAATGTCATCTTTATAAGAGTTCATTACATTTGTTTAACCAAAATGAGAAATTTTCCTGGTGATATATAAAGATGATGATATAACCAAAATGATGAAATTTTCCTGGTGATATATAAAAAACAATACTGTATGCATTGTTTGTGTCTAACTGTCTATTTACACATAATTTATTTTTCAATTTCAGGACTTCATGTATTTTGAAAGATCACCACCACAACCTTCAGGAAGATAGAGGAGCACATAAAATCATCAGTTACATTCCAATTTTAGTGTGTGTGTTGCTGAGGCAAGCACGAGATCGTCGATTAAGATGACAAAAATATTTTAGAAAATGTTGCATTAGGCTTAACCTAAACCCTTATTTTTGGAAAGTATATTTCTCTGCTGTTCAGGTTATTTGAAAGAAGATGCTTAGCTTTGACAGACAGATTGAAGTTTGAATAGAAGACCAAAACCAGACATGTTTCAATTGGTTGTCTTCCTACTTGGTAGGTTATGGGTTCATTTGGAAAAATTTAGACCCGTTAACCAAGGAAACTTCTACAAAATTAGCTTTAAAAACTACAAACATGAGCTAAGGGAAAAAGGAATAGCCAGAGTTCTCACATTAATAAGCAGTGAAATGAAGGACTGTTTTTTAGACAAAGTACGATGGTTTCTATCTATAATCCTTTCTCACCTCTATTTATTGGCATGTCTTGTGATAGAAGACAAATTTGATTCCAGGTGAAAAGAAAGACTTTTCGGTTTAAAAACAAAAGATCAGAGAGATATATTATGTTTTATTATATAAGAAAAACTTTATTGCATACAAATTTCAAAACTTTATGAATTTTGCAAGACTTTTGATGGAAAACCTGCCGTTAATATGAAATTAGCATGTATATTTTTATCACAGTGTTTTAATATGCACTCAGATTTTCTCAGCTATGGCATAGATAAGCAGTAGCTGCCTCTGTATAAGGGTAGAATCAGACTGCCAGGTAAACAGAGCCACGACCAGTTGAGATCTCAGCATCTTAGGGATATCAGTATCCCTATAAGAACCTTGCATTTAACACATGTATAATACATTTACACACAACACATTAATATTTACTGGTCATATATGAAATATATTGAGCCAAATCTCTGACTTCCTGTAGTCAATTGTTTTGTTTTGTTCTTTCGAAATTTCTGGTGACCACCAGGCTGTTCTAAGGCAAGAAATTGAGCTGTTTTTCAGTTTGAAATGTGGCTTAGTGTAGCACTTTATAAAGGCAAAAGCTACTAGCTATGATAATGCTTAGCTGCTTTTTGTTTACATGTTAGAGAAGAAAATAATAAACCCCAGCAAACATGCTACTTCTGTGTGATCTACAGTTTATCACTGAGAACTATGTGAGATCAACAGTGTTAAAGTATCAGCTGGGCTGATTTCTATTAACTCACTTAAAGCATAGTGTAGAAGTGAATGCTCTTTAACTGGCCCCTATTGCACTTTAGCCTTCTATGTGGATGTAGCCTGTGTTCTGTAAACACAGCTAGTAATCAGATCGGAATGTATTTTTCTACAGCTCATTACATTTCTAAAAAGCGTGAGTATTCTTAAGGGGGTTATTTTGAGATAAGAGCCTTAGTCTGCAGGTCTTTTTGAAATGAAAGAAAGGTGCTTCCTTTTTGAATTATACTACTTTTTATGATAAGAGTTGTTTTATTTAGTTATTTGTAATATTATTTTTACATGCTGCTACTAGCTTCTTTTAAATAATGTAAAAGCTGCTGCTCTCTAAAATAAATGCCTTATATTTGAAAATATAATCTTAGACAGATGTATTTCCTATAATGTTTTGATGTTTTATATAGAAAATTTTGTATTGAGGTCTATAAACTTTGTATTTTTCCTTGCTTATAGTCCTGTATTTGAAGACCTGCATAATACTTATAGTATAAGAAAGACAGAGCATTTTAAATTTGTTTAATGTTTTTGTTTTTTAACATGTCTCTTATGGTTACAAATTTTATTTAAAAATAACACCATGTGCTATGCTTTGTGTTTTAATTCACAAAATAGTTTCTGTATTTTAGATGGCACTTCATTGTGTAATATTTATCAGGTTAGCTGTCCCTCAAAATATGTGTGTTCTCATGTTTCTTCATGTGATCTGGATTTTAAATAAATGTAGTAGGGTTAATAGTAAAAAACTCTTATTTTTGGAGTGTTAGTATTTTTTCCAAAGGGACTTCTGAAACAATTTCTTATTAGTCCTTAACCTTATTCAAGGTCCTTACTTTCTGTTATGGTTTGGGTTTAAATGTTCCCCAAAGCCTCATGCAGTCATGAGGGGAGGTCCTTTCAAAGGCAGCTAAGTCTCAGGTTTGTGATTGGTTCATTGTCCGGCCCTGGGATTGTTGGTGTGAGAGCTGCACCCACCCACTCTGGGTCAGGTAGCTGGCATACAGTGTAAGGAAGGGAAAGAGGTGTGCTCTCCCCTCCTACCCTTTCCCTCTTGTTGCTCACCATGAATGGTTGCCCCTCAGCCATGCCACCCTGCTTTGGAGCCAGCTGGGTATGGACTGAAACTTCCACAAATTATGAGCTAAGTAAACCTTGTCTTCCTTCATTTTGGGTGTCAGGTATTTTGTCTCAGCAATGAGAGAAAAGTAACCTAGACACTTTCTTAAAGAAAGTTAATACTAATAAAGTCATTACTATAATGTTCCCTAGTAGTACCCACAATTCTTATATAACAAGTTACTTATAAGTGCTAGTTCAGTTATTTAAGATCCACTAACTATAATTTTAATATTATTATACAGGAAAACTGCTAAAATTTGTCAGTAAAGATACATTTTAAAGCATTATTTTTTCTTTCTTTCTTTCTTTTTGAAGTAAGATCCTGCTTTGTAGTCCAGGTTGGCCTTGAATTTGAGATAATTCTCCCAACTCAAATTCTGCAGTGCTGGGATTGCAGTGTTTAGCTATATACTGCTTTTAAACACTTCAGTGTGTAGTGATACACTTTAAGAATGCTCAGTGGGACACAATGAAATGTGTTCCTTCAAATTCTTGTGTCTTAGAGTTCTGTGAGTAAATATGTGAATTTCATGCAAAAACCCAAAAAGTTTTCATCTTTGACAGAAGTGAGTTAAAACGCTGTTTTTAATGACCAGATTTTCCAGATACTATATAAAAATGTAGGTTACCAAAATATTAATAATTGAATTTTCCAGTCAACTCAATGTTAAACTCCAGTATAAGATAAACAGTGATTCCAAGGTATTGAATATTGCTGCTGTTGGGGAAGCTGGCTCTTTTTCAGGCCTTTTACTGCTATGTTCAGTGTTTAATTTAATTTGTATTGAAAGATGCAACGTTGGAAAACCCTTGGGTCTGGATTTAATCAACTAATGTCAGATTCAGCTGTGGGGTTAGTGATAGCACATGCTTAAGATGGATCTTTTCCCATAACTTCACAATGTGTTTTCTATTTTGCTTTAGGCTTTTTAAACTGTAAATCCTGGAAAATAGAAAGATTTAATGATACATCCAAATGTAGTCAATGTGAGGAAGCATACTATGCTATATAATACATAGCATGGCTAATAATACTTGTGGTAGGCATTTGCTCGGTTAAATGAGATATTTTTGAAATATTTAGTGGAGTAGCCAATACAAATGTTTACCATCCTTTCCAGTAGTTTATTCTATCAGCCTTCACATAAATGAGCACCTACTAAATCAATCATTTCTGAAAGGCAGGAGGGCAATACAAAGATGGAAAAATGGATAATTACTACTCTGAACGGTGCACAAAACACACACCCTTAAGAACTGTAATGGACACTTGCCAATGGGGTGTTGGTGCATGCACAAGAGGCCACATCATAGGCACGGTTTCAGGTGCTGTATAATACATTCCTGTTACTTAATAAAACAGGTTAAGGCAGAATGATCATGTTACGGGCAAGAAAATTTTTCAGCACTGGTGGAAGTAAGATGAATTTTATAACTGTGCCTGCAAGCGAAATACGTGGTGAATGCAATTGAAAAGATCAGCTTAGCAAGTTTCAGCAAGCAGAGAAGGGACTGACTGTTTTTTGCAGTAAGATATGAGCCAAGGACAGTGTATGTTTCATTTAACATGCTCAAAGAGTAGGTCCTGAATTAATGAATGAAAGCCATACTATGGGGCTGGGGGTTTAGCTCAGCAGAATAGGAAAATTCGAGTGAGTTTGATCCCTCGTACCTAAATCAATAAATAAATAAAAGAAAGTCCTATATGTTCAGGACACTGTGCTAGTGTTCAAGGAGATATGAGTGAATACAAAGTCCTCAATCGCTCTGCAAGGTTGAAACAATATATTACTATACCACAATGCTAAGTAACTATTGCATGAAACAAGTACACACTTTTCATTTGGTAAATGGTTATTACTGTGTTCTCACAACTATCATGAGGTAAATGTCATTTTCATTTCTCACAGAAAAAAATAAACTTCATCAAGAGACAGTAGTAACGAAAAGAGAGGATGCTAAGCAGTTTCTTTTCCCAGCTCTAATATAATTAAGGTAAAAGAAAAACACGTATAAAAGATGACAAACTTGACAGCTCCTAAAGGAGGTAGAGCAAATTAGGTGGAATTCAGGAAGAGCTATAGTGCAGTGGTCTGACAGTTTCAATCAGAAATCTAAGACCTATTGTCCCAACCTATTGTCCCATATGTTCACATTTGCCCACAGTAGGTTGATAGTGAGTGTCCCCTGTGTAGTGAGGGTCCAAGAGACCCTGGGCTGAGTTGGTGGCTGTGTCTCCACAATAGCACCCGAGCGAAACGGGCAAGTAGAAAATCGTTAGAACATGTTCTGTGGGTACCAGCTAAATGGTTTTTCTTTACATTTTCCTGCAGTTTTTAGTTCTGCTTCTCAACAAACTAATCAGTCACCAAAATGAAAGTGTCTTGCTGCTATGTTTACATTAAGATTAAATTTCAGGAGGAAGGACGTGCTTCTGGGAAGGTAAGAAACTCACCTCACAATGAGATACACGGGATGATACAACTTATATCATTGTTGCCTATAACAACAATGGTGATGATAACAACTACTCCTTTTTGGTGTTTTTGATATCCCATGCGTGGTTCTGCATGAAATGTATCAATCCATTTAATGCTTACAACTTAGAAGGTATGTACTGTGATAAATCTCGTTTTAGACATGGGCAATATAAGGTTAGGTATGTTGCATCAGTTTACACAGCTAGCTACACTTTTGATGCTGGCTACACCCGAGACCACTATACCCCGTTCTTTCTTGTTTGTACGATGTTTGACTGTTTTGTGCATTGAAATTTAGAGAATGGAAATGTAGAAGAGTTGTGTTTTCAAGTTTAGGACATGTCGGGAAAATTTGTGAGATTCCAAAGAAATTCTGTCTGCCTAATGGGGATCAATTCTCTCTCTGTCTCTCTCTCCTTTCTTCTGTCGCTTCATCCCTTTCTCTCTGTCTCTCTACCTTCCCCCCTCCTCCCACTCCTCTTCCTCTCCCTCTGTTCTGCTTCTTTGCCATTTCTGTCTCCAAAAAGGTTTGTTTTTTTTCTCTTTCTAGTGCCCTAGAAGTGCTTCAAATTGAATCCCACTTTTTCTGTTGTTTTTCTGTTTCACAATATGTTAAGTATAAACCTCTAAAAAATATGGGCAAATTTAGTTTTATGAATCCTCAGAGCGCTGTTCCCTTCCTCAAACAGGGCAAGTTTTTAAAAAAAAAAAAATCCATTGCCTTAATCTACATGGGCCAGTGGATAACTTTTTTCTAATTTGCCCTTTGCAATACAGGGTGCTCTTTAGAGGATTCTTATTTTCTAGCGGGTGTCTGCTCCCAAGGTCTCACCTCCTGCTTCATTCAGGGGGGTGAAATCAAAGTTCTTTGGAAAACAAGATTGGTAAGTTCTTTTAGGAATCCAAAGAAAGTGTCAGCCTCTGCTTAATAGATATTTCAGCATTTTTATTTTTAACCTCTACTAAATTGTTTTCTTGTCCTAAAAGCTATACTTTGCACACAAATATCTTTGGTTATTATTTAGCCAGACTTTCTAAGTTTTTTGTACCAAGAGTTTCAAGTTTGAAACATTGCCAGCAATGAAGATGATGTATTCTTAAAGGCAGCACACAGATTTCAGTATGAAATATTTTGAGGAGATTCTTTAACGTAAATCTAACCAAATAATTCTGAACTGTTAGATTGCAGTTGTGTGTTAGTCTTACATCTTCATTTTCCATTTAAGATGACATTTTTCTCAACACATTATTGAATTCTAGACTATCTTAAAATGTTTAATACTTCTTATACAGCTATTAGGTAAAAACCATTCATTTAAAATTGTGCCAGCTCTTCTATAACCCAGGCTTAGAGAAATTTTTTTTGGGAAATTATAGGAGCAGTCATTGCACTGAGTAATTTTAGAAAGATATTTGCTCAAAGTGTCTTAGCTACTAGTCATTAATTTCTTTGAATTTTAATTTATTACTACAAGACAAAACAGTTAGAAAATAGTTCTTACAACTCCTGATTTTGCAGGAATAGGCAAGTGGAGGGTGGCAGAGGAAAACAATTAGAATAACAAAATACTTAGGTATTTTTCAAACTCTTGATAATCCAGAATCAGAAAGCTGGATAAATGGGTGTGCTGTAGGGGGCAGCACCTGCTCAGGAAGTTCTTTGATAAACTCTGCCTTTTTTTTTTTTTTTTTTTTTTGACAATAAATTATTGTTATTAATCTGTAAGTTGTAAAGACTAGAACAAAAATACTTTAGAATTAGAAGAACCCATTAAAGTCTACTTGCGTTACATCCTAACCTACAAATGGAGAAAAAGAGATCCAGGTCATGTATCCAAAGTAACAGTAAGAATTAGTAGTAGTGGAATCAGTATTAAAAGAATAGATGTCTGTGTTTTTTTTTTTCATTCCCTTGCCAACATAAACACTGTAATGTAACATCTTTTATAACACTGTGTTTTTAGAAAGCAAAAATGAAAACCCAGTTTCAAGTTCCTCTAATTTCAGAATCATGTTTAATCCCACACAGGGTCTGTCCTTCAGTAAACCCATACATTGTGGAAATGCATGATCATAATTACACAGTTCATGCTCTTCATTAACATATAATGCAAACAATAATGGGGACAATGCTGCTTTCCTGCTTC